ACAGGAAAGTCCAGTGTAAATCCGAGGCCCTGCTGGGAAGCAGGAAGGTATCTGGCACAGGAGAAAGCTTTCTATAGAGGGTTGGGAACGGACTGGACGTTCCAGCCGGTGCAAGACCGAGGCCAGCAAGCGCGCTGGAAGGCAGCCGGCTCTGCGGGAAGGAGAGCTCCTGAGCCCGAGTCTGGTGAGCAGTGGATGCCATTCGGTAAGGTGAACCTAGTACCGGGAGGCAAGAAAACTCAGGGGGCCCGAAAACCCAGCGCCGTGTTGTCAGCCGACATTTGTCTGTCCATGTGTTTGTATTCGGCTCTCCGTGTTTGTGTGTGTGCCGGCATTGTCTCTGGTCTCGTTCTCTTCTGGGGCATCGTTCTCTTCTCTATAGATCTAGAAACGGAGATGAGGCCTCCGCCATATGTGCCCCCCCGTGCAATTCCCTCCGAGGAGAGAGGCTCCCATGGGTGAACCAAGAGGACTAGGAGGGCCAACAGGAACCGACCATGAAGGGGGGCCAGCCTTGGGGACCCGGGGGAGAACTAGGGGAGATAGCGGTGGGCAAGACCCTAGGGACCCAGAGTTACCTTCATCCACTGTCCAGGCGCTCCCCGTCCGAGTGGGACCAGCTAACCCGGGCGGAGAGCGAACCTACCAGTACTGGCCCTTTTCCACGAGTGACCTGTACAATTGGAAGACCCAAAACCCTCCTTTCTCAGAGAAGCCCCAAGGCCTCATTGACCTCTTAGATTCCATTTTGTTCACTCACAACCCCACCTGGGATGATTGTCAGCAGCTGTTACAGGTACTCTTCACCACAGAAGAACGGGAGCGAATCCTGGCAGAGGGGCGGAAACGGGTCCCGGGGGTCAACCGGAGGCCAACCGCCCAGCCTCATCTCATGGACGAGGGGTTTCCTCTGTTGCGGCCTAACTGGGATTTTGAGCGGGCGGAAGGTAGGGAGCGTCTCCGAGTGTACCGCCAGACTCTGATGGCTTGCCTGCGGGCCGCAGCTAGGAAGCCGACAAATCTGGCGAGGGTAAATTTAGTAAGGCAAGAGCCCACTGAGAGCCCGGCAGCCTTCCTAGAGAGGCTGATGGAAGCCTTTAGGCAATACACACCTATGGACCCCCAGGCTGAGGAGTCACGCGCTGCAGTTCTACTAGCGTTTGTGAATCAGGCAGCCCCAGATATTAGGAGGAAATTACAAAAGATAGAGGGGTTGGGAGAACAGACAATACAGGATTTACTGAAAGCAGCTGAAAAGGTATTTAATAATAGGGAGACCCTAGAAGAAAGGGAGGAACGAATTCGACGGGAGGAAAGGGAATTAGCTGAGAAGATCAGGAAGGAAGATAGAGAATATAGAGCGAGGGAAAACCGGAAGAACCAGAGGGAGCTAGCCCAGATTCTTTTTGCAGGGATAAAGGCCGGAACAGAATTGAGGGAGCCTCGAGACCCCTGGACGGGAGAAAAAGAGAAACCAAAAAGGCAGGCCCTAAAGAAAGATCAGTGCGCCTACTGCAAAGAACAGGGGCACTGGAAAAACGAGTGCCCTAAGAGGGACCCGAGGAGAGGAAAGACCCAGAGAGAGAGAATCTCCCCTGGAACTTGAGTTCTATATGCGGGGGAAGACAGTGACTAGGGGAGTCAAGACTCGGCACCCCTCCCCGAGTCCTGGGTAACCATACATGTGGAGGGGAAACCCATTGGCTTCATGGTAGATACTGGCGCCCAACACTCTGTTTTAAATCAAAAACTGGGACCAATGTCTAAGAAAACCAGCTTGGTGCAAGGAGCCACGGGGACAAAAAGATATTGTTGGACCACAGAACAAAAAGTAGATCTGGGGACCCACCAGGTGTCCCATTCGTTTTTGGTAATACCAGAATGCCCAGCCCCTCTACTTGGAAGAGACTTGCTGACTAAAGTTAATGCTCAGATTCATTTTGACTCTGGGGGAATGTCAGTCATGGATGGACCTAGACAGCCGATACATGTCTTATCCCTAGCCTTAAGAGATGAATACAGACTTTTTGCGCTTAAGCCCTCAGAGACCATAGCACCAGATGTACAACCGTGGGTCCACAAATACCAGTTGGCCTGGGCTGAAATGGCAGGGATGGGACTGGCCAAACAGAGACATCCGGTTGTCATTGAGCTAAAGGCCAGGGCAACTCCTGTGAGGGTGAGACAGTACCCCATGAGCCAGGAAGCTCGGCAGGGGATCACTCCCCACATTCAATGTCTCATGTATGACCCACCTCCCACAGGGGTTCAAGAACTCCCCTACCTTGTTTAATGAGGCTCTGAGTGAGGACCTCTACTAATATCGGACTTGCCACCCAGAGGTCATTCTGCTACAATACGTAGATGACCTTATGTTGGCTGGAACCACAGAGGAGGTATGCAGCTGTACCACCGGGGACCTCTTACAGACCCTAGGCACCTTGGGGTATCGTGCAACAAGGATACCACCCTCCAGAAGGATGACAAAGATGGATGGTACCAAGATCAAAACAACAACCTGATGTTGCCTGCCACACTGGGTCATCACCTGTGTGAACACCTGCACACAACTACACACTTGGGAGAAAGAAAGACCCTAACACTTCTCCAGACAGCCTGCCTGAGGTTCCCTCGACAAAATGCAACTGTGTGAGAGATAATTCAGGCTTGCAAAGCGTGCCAGCTAATGAGGGCAGAGAAGCAGCAGCACACGGGAATGAGGTACTGAGGGGAAAAGGCAGGGCAACACTGGGAGATAGATTCCACTGAGGTAAGGCCAGGCAAGTACGGGTATCGCTATCTGTTGGTTCTGGTAGATACCTTCTCGGGGTGGGTGGAGGCCTTCCCCACTAAGGGAGAGACAGTGCTAAAAAGATCTTTAGAGGAGATAGTGCCTAGGGTACGGGCTGCCAGTGACTATGGGCTCTGATAACGGACCTGCCTTTGTGAGCCAGATTGTACAAGGGCTGGCCCAAGCTCTGGGGACGAAATGGAAGTTACATTGTGAATATAATCCCCAGAGCTCAGGACAGGTTGAGAGAATGAATCGGACCCTAAAAAAAACTTTGACAAAGTTGGCAATAGAGACTGGCGGGGACTGGGTGACCCTCCTTCCCTTCGCACTCTTTCGGGCACACAACACCCCTTATAAGACACGGCAAAAATTGGATTGTGCCAGAGGTTGGGGGTTGGTGGATTTGTTCACATACTGGGCTAACACCATGTTTAAATGTGAAGGTTTTTAACCAGAGTCAAGAATTCTGTGTCTTGGTTGCTGTAATACCAAAAATCTTATACCACTCTGAAGAGGTTATGTACTCACATTGGGACCGGGAAATGCTAAGACAAAAGAGAGAGCCAATCAGTGCGATCACCATAGCAACCTTGTTCAGTCTTGGGCTGGCAGGAGCAGGGACAGGAATAGCTTCACACTCTCTGCAAGGCCGAGGGCTTTCCTCCCTATGAGCTGCTGTAGATGAAGATATAACTCGCATAGAAGAATCAGTCACTTGGAGAAGTCTTTGACTTCCTTGTCTGAGGTGGTCTTGCAGAATAGGAGAGGATTAGACTTGATTTTTCTCCAACAGGGTGGGGTCTGCGCGGCTCTGGGAAAAGAATGTTTCTATGCAGACCATACAAGAGTGGTAAGAGAATCTATGGCAAAAGTGAGAGAGGGACTAGCGCAACAAAAGAGAGAACGGGAGGCCCAGCAGGGGTGGTTTGAGTCTTGGTTTCAACGCTCCCCCTGGCTGACTACCTTAATTTCCACCCTCCTGGGTCCACTTATAGTGCTATTATTGATACTCACATTTGGCCCATGTATTTTAAACCGACTAGTATCATTTATTAAAAAACGCCTCAACACCATTCAGATTATGGTGTTGAGACGACAATATCAGCCAGTGGCCCAAGATGGAAAAGAGGAAGATTCCTCTACTTGAACAACAGACAGGGGGGAATGTGAGGTGAGCAGAAGTAACGCCATGGCAGGCAGATAAGTAATAGTAAGAATAAATAAATCTAATGTTGGAGTGGAATAACAAATACAAAATTTAATTCCAAAGACCTATTTAAGGTTCTTTAACGGGGCTTTAAATCTTTTTCCTTTTACTCTGCCAACAATTTTTTAACCACTGTATCAAAAGTTAAAAATGGATTCAGCAATTTCTCTTTCTTATGCTGCTTTTATAGTTCTCTCCTCCAGCCATTCCTGTAGTTCTCAGGAAACAAGAGGGTTGAAGGGGTTTCCGGGGGCGCCAAGTCCAGGGAGGGAGGCCAGGGCATCACAGGTGGCAGCACATTTGTGGGCGGGGGGTCACTGTCTCCTGGGTGTGCCCAGGGCATCACTGAGCAGAACACAGGCGCGGCTCCAAGAGCTTTGCCACTGTGATCTAGTCAGTGCAGTTGCCCCCACATGCCCTGTGATATTGGTCCAGCAGGGGTGGGGTTGGGGGGGCTCAAACTGGGAAATGCATCTGTGGGAGGTCCTCACTGTGACGTCAAGGGATGTCCTGTCAGCATCTACCTCCTTGACCAAACTGTGAGCAACTTAGCCCATTGTTTCACTCCTAGAATTTATCACAGCACATGGCAGATTCTAGAGAGAGAATAAACGGTAAATGAATGGATTCTAAGGGTTTCCCAGGTGGTGCTAATGGTAAAGAACCCACCTGCTAATGCAGGAGACATAGGAGACATGATTCGATCCCTGGGTTGGGAAGTTCCCCTGGAGGAGGGCATCGCAACCCACTCCAGTACTCTTGCCTGGAGAATCCCCATGGACAGAGGAGTCTGGCAGGGCCAGTCCATGGGGTCACAAAAAGTTGGACATGACTGAAGTGACTTAGCACACACACACGAATAGGTTCTAAGGACCAACTTTTACCAGAATTAGCGGAGATGACGGGATAGAGTCACACTGCATCTTCTCAATGACGAAAACAGTGGAATCTCCAGTTTACCTGATGCTAACTCTGCCCCCCACCCCACTTCTGTTGCAGCCGATGGGGTCAGAATGGATGGAGATGCGGAAGCGGCCGGTGTGCGCAGCCCAGGAGCCTGCAGCCTGCGCCCCCGGCCAGCCCGGAGTGGAGAACCAGGGGTCCAACGCTTGCTGCTTCTGCTGGTGCTGCTGCTGCAGCTGTTCCTGGTAAGCTGGTGGCTTTGTTATGACCATGCTCCTGAGAAGAAAATGGTACCTTGATAAGAAAATGGTACCTTGAACAGTGCCAGCTTATGAAGATTCAGTAAGTGCTTTGTAAGCAAATGCTATATGGCTGACACTGATATGGGTTTTGTAAAGGACCACAAAAACAACAAAACAGATAAAAAACCAAGATGAGGGCTTCCCTGGGAGTCCAGTGGCTGGGGCTCTGTGCTCCCAATGTGGGGGCTGGGATTCGATCCCTGTTCTGGGAACTAGATCTCACATGCTGCAGCTAAAAGATCCCACCTCCCACAGCTAAGCCTGGGTTCAGCCAAGTGAATAAAAACACAGTCTTCCCTGGTGGTCCAGTGGTTATGAATCTGCCTGCCAGTGCTGGGGACATGGGTTTGTTCCCTGGTCTGGGAAGATTCCCACATGCCATGGGGCAGCTGAGCCCAAGAACCACAATTACTGAAGCCCATGGACTCTAGGGTCCCCATAAGACAACTACTGAGCCTATGTGCCTCAACTACTGAAGCCAGTGCACCTAGAGCCCACGCTCCACAAGAGAAACCACCACAATGAGACGCCCGCACACCGCAGCTAGAGAGTAGCCTCCACTTGCTGCAACTAGAGAAAAAGCCAGCGTCGCGACAAAGACCCAGCACAGTTAATTAATTTTAAAAAATATGAAAAAAAACCCCGAGACAAGACTGCATCCTAGCTCTGAAGGGACATAGTCAAGTTCCTGAAATCAGGCTAACTAATGTATATCAAATGTCTAAAGAACAATCTAAGCCAGCTGATGATTGAATATTAATATCTGGGCAAAAATGGTGCCTAGATTGTCAAAAAGTAGTGAATTCAAGGCCCTCTACTTGGTGGTAAAGACTTATTGGAGGAGTTACAATTTAATCTGGGTCTTAAAGATTAGGGTTATGAAAGAGCATGAGCCTGCATTTTATATTCTGCTTCTATTAATATTGCTTTTGATAAAGAAAAGTATTAAAATTTATGCTGGACAGAGAGAGGAAAAGCTTAAAATATAGGCTAACTTACTCAGAGAGGAAGATATACATTCATTGCTTAAAAAAAGAGATACAACTTGACTGAGTCACTGCTGAAAATCTGGAGAAAGGGGTAGGATTTACCCTCAGAAATCACATGGGCATTAGATTGCATCTCTGAAATCTTGTGTATGAAACATTCCTCATGCCAACCAAATGTGTGTGTAGCTTTAGTCAATAAAACCATTGTAATGTACTTGGGCTTGACTGCGAGTTAGACCCAGACCGTGGAGAAGAGGAAACCCTGGGACAGATCAGTGACAGAATCACATGAGGTGATGAGGGGAGCTGAAGATAGAAAATGAAATGTCCAGGACAGTTTGTTTGGTTTGCTCCCGCTTGCCTCAGGCTGGCACTAATTTCCAAGAAGCTCCACTCCAGTGGGTGGGCCTCCAAGGGTGACCCTCTGAGGACTGATGGAACCCAGTGCTGGGAGGTCTGTCCATTTGGGACAGAACCCCAGACTCCGGTGGGAATACAGGGCTGAGCAGCCTGGCATTCAAGGCAAGCCGTCAGCCCTGAGTAGGAGTCTAGAGGAGCCAGCAGGGGACTGGAGGAAAGGGTGCTGGCAGCCCTTACACCATGAGTGTCCAGGACTCCCTAGTGGGAAGGAGACCCACCAATGGAGAAGAGACCACATTTAAGCCCCTTTTTCTGTACTTTTCACTCTGCTCATCAGGCTCAGTGAGATGGTGCCTGAAAGATGCTCAGAGATGTCCCCATGATTGTGGGATGACGCTGGCATTTATCCTATCTACCCAGTCCCCGATCTGCTGCCTTGAGAGGCATAGGAGGCAGGATCATGGCCTGAACAAAGTCTGAGACTGATGGTGTGTTGGGGGGCAGGTGGTGGCAGGCCCCAGAGCAGGCTCCTCCTAATAACAACTATGGTGAATAAAATATATATCTATGCCTGGATGTCATCATCACAGTCAGAAAGCAAGTATCATGTGGTATGTGCATCTGTGAAAGATGAGAGCAATGTCTTCAAAGTATGAGAGCAAAGTAACAGAATTTAGTCAAACTATAACTCAAGAAGATGTCTCCAAAGAAGATGGACAAATAGCTGATAAATACTTGAAAAGATGGCTAAGTGTCATGGGTCATGAGCAAAATACAAATCAGACACACAGCATGATACCCTTTGTAGCCACCACATGGCTAGAATTAGAAAGACAGACAATAGTAAGGGCTGGTCTGGGTGTGGAGGAACAGGAGCCCGCCAGCTTTGCTGGTGGGAATGTGACATGGTGCAGCTGCTTTGGAGGAGAACAGTGTGGGACTTCCTCAAAATGTTAAAAATAGAGTCATCATGTGACAGTATTTCCACTCCTGAGTATCTACTCAGGAGAAGTAAAAACAGACATCCACACAAAATGACTGTAAATAGCCCCAAAGTGCAGACAGCCTAATTATTCATTTGTTTTACGAAAAGAATTATTATTCTAAATGTAAACTGTCCATCATTCATGTAGACCAGAGTATTATATATAGAATTTATTTTGCTAATACTTGATTGTTATCCTTTCGGTTTTCTTAAGAAAACAAAGCAGAGTCATTTGTGTCAAGAAAACAAGGAACTTGTTACTTAACACAGAGTGATCTCAACCCTCACGTGTACATCTCCTTTCATGCAGTCTCACTGTAAGAAACCAGGAGGAACAGAGACTTAGAAGGACTTCCTATGAAGTCAGAACCGAAGACCTTCCCAACTGTGAAGAAAGGTAAAACCTCATAGTGTTTAGCTCACTGAATTGACAGAAATGCCAGCCTGGCTATTTTTTAATTCCTTATTATTTTTTCTTTTCTTCCAATTATTTTTTTTTGAGATATAGTTGACATCCAGTGCTGTATAATCCTAAGGTATACCACGTAAATATTTAACTTGCACACATTCACGTAAGTTAAGTGAACATCCATCATCCCATGAGTGCCCACCTGGAATTTTTTGGTGTTTTGCATTATATGTGTCACTAGAATAGCTTCTCTAACTGCCGTTTAACATCAGATCATAATGTTGCATCACATTTTCACTCAGCAGAATTCCTTTCAATTATTTTTTTAACTTAAAAAAATGTTTTGACCACATTGCATGTGGGATCTTAGTCCCCTGACCAGGGATTGAACCTGTACCTGTGCTCCCTGCATTGGGAGTTTGGAGTCTTAACCACTGGACCACCAGGGAAATTCCAGCAGATTCCTTTCAATTTATTGTGTGACAGGGAGAAAAGTCAGTTCCATTATTAATCTAATGCCTGTTAATCACAAATATAAATTGATGCTTCTTGGCAAAACATGTGATATATTTTATTTTTATGTGATTCACCTTTTTAAATAAAAGAACATAATGAAATACACATTATGTTGAGGTTCAGGAAAATTTTAAAGGTCCATTTTTTCTTAATTCTTCTTTTATACTTTAGCTAATATGTTATTTTTTGAAGTGTTTTTTTTTTTAAGTTGGGAAAAACATATAAATTACTCTCCATAATGCCAAATTTAAAAGTGTCTTTTTCTTCCTGTATTATCAATGGACTTATTTTCACTTATCGACTCATACTTTTTCTGCATGTGTCTGTCTGTATCCAAATCCCCCCTTTTATAAGAATACCAGTTATACTGAATGAGGACCCTCCCTAAAGACTGCATCTTAACTTGGTTAAACCTGCAGAGATCCTACTTCTAACGCAAGGTCCAGGGTCAGGACTTCAGCATCTCTTTTTTAGGAGACACAATTAATCCATGCTCACATTTTTGCTGAAGGCTTGAGGAATAAGGACAACTCTTTCTCGGCCTGAAAGGGCCTGGGTGCAGGTTTTCATTCTCGGAGGGAAAAGGACATCTGTCCAGGGCTGAATTCCCATCAGCCCCCCGATCCCTCAGCTCCCCACACCCCTTCTTCCCGCCCCCAGCCCGGGTCCCACGCTGGAGGAGGCCAGCGCCTGGGCTCAGTCCTTTGACAAGCTCATGCTCACGCCTGCGGGCAGGAACGCCTTCCGGGAGTTTCTGCGGACCGAGTTCAGCGAGGAGAACATGCTCTTCTGGATGGCGTGCGAGGAGCTGAAGAAAGAAGTGAATAAAGCCATGATTGAAGAGAAAGCGAGGGTCATATATGAAGACTACATTTCTATTCTCTCTCCTAAGGAGGTAGGTGCCTGCCAGAGGTCGAGGCCGTGGGCAAAAAGGACCCCTTCAGTGTCTGGTCCCCCGGCCCGGTTACCGCTGCTCCAGAATATGGAACCCCCCTGTCCCCCACTCATCATAGACTTGAGCAATGGTCCCACCAATGGGTGCCAAGTACCCTCGAAAATCTGTGAAAGATCGTGAGCATTTTCCTGGGGAAAGTGTGTATAACTTTCATCAGATTCTCCAGAAGGAGGTGACTTTGTGTCTGGCTGTAGACACTGTTATAGGGGGAAGGAGAGGGGGGTGGGACAAATCGAGAGAGTAGCATGGAAACATATGTATATTACCACATGTAATAGATAGATAGCCAGTGGGAATTTGCTGTGTGACACAGGGAGCGCAGCCCAGGGCTCTGTGACCACCTAGAGGGATGGGATGGGGAGGGAGGTGGGAGGAGGTTCAGGAGGAAGGCGACACAGGTATACCTGTGGCTGATTCATGTTGATGTTTGGCAGAAACCAACACAACACCATAAAGCAATTATCCTTCAATTAAAAATAAATAAATTTAAAACAAAAAGAAGTACAACACCCATAAGCATCACTTTACCAGCATCGCTGAGAACTCATGGGAGATGCAGATTCTCACCCGCACCCAGATCCACTGAGCCAGAAGCTCTGCAGGGGCCCCACCCAGTGTAACCAACCCACCAGGGGCTTCCAGTGCCTCTGAAGTTTGGGACCCCTGTTCTGTGCTCAGTTCCTCCTTTGGCAGCTTAGCACTGGGGACAACCTTGCTTGGTTGGGATTTTTAAAAAGCCCAACAAGCTGTGGGAGTCGGGGGTGGATGTCCAGAGAGGACCATGTCTGATGAGCCTGGTGTTTCCCCCGCCTCCGCCAGGTCAGCCTGGACTCACGCGTGCGGGAGGCCATCAACAGGAGCATGGCCGAGCCCTCCCAGAACATCTTTGATGATGCCCAGCTGCAGATCTACACGCTGATGCACAGGGACTCATACCCCCGCTTCATGAACTCCGCTCTCTACAAAGACCTGCTCCGCTCTTTATCCGAGAAAGCAGTGGAAGCCTAGGATATCAAAGATATTTATTTTAATAAAATAATCCAAGAACTCGTGGGCTCCGTCTAGGACAGGGACTTTTAGAGGCGGTAGTGTCTTCTGCTGGTCGTACTCTCACTGTTTTAATAACAGACCCTTTCTTCTGCAGAAAACTGATACATTCATCAAGAAAACTGCAGCCACCTTTCCCAATTCTTTTGGAAAAACTGGGGTATGGCTCTGTAGAGAGGTTGTGTAGTTACATTTACAGTGACAGTAGTTTGTTCTCAAGTGACAAATGATACACAAGAAGATGCCACATTGCCTTCAAAGGGTACATCATGGGAACAAACAGGACCCAGATTCCCATTTTATAAAAATGTGACCTCTACTTGTAAAATTTGTATCCCACTGTATCTTAGGATACATCTATGTATTGCTAAATGCATATATGTGCATTTGTATCTTACATGGTTGATGTAAAGCACCGTGCTCTTAACTGGATCAGCATCAAAAGTTTGGTAAGAGAAGCAGTGTTTAGAAAATCCTTTTGTTGACAAGTTACCTTTATTTTTTATTACCAGAGCCTGCCAACCTAAAGAATGAATTTTCAACTTAGTGGCATTCATCAAAAACATTCAAATAAGTATATTTCCTTTTTTAGTACTGAAAGAAACATGGGCATTTTCACCCTAAAAAAATAAAGCACAAGAGTTTTATCTCAGCCTTTTTTTTTTGCACATATATTTGGGAAATATAAGATTAAGTAAGTACAGACACACTCAAGATTCTCTTTTAGTTCCCAGACTAGGATTTCATTTTTAGATCCCACTATTTTTTATCACAGGTGAACAGAATAAATTCATAGCTCACAGGTGAAAATACAGCCTTACAGATCTAAACCATCACTATAATGAGTGGGGAAGAAATGCATCCAGAACATAATTTGCATGAAGCTCAGTCAGGAAAGAACCCGGATGCAATGCAGGAGACGCAGGTTCAAGCCCTGGGTCAGGAAGATTCCCTGGGGAAGGAAATGGCAACCCACTCCAGTATTCTTCCTGCCTGGAGAATCCGACGGACAGAGAAGCCTGAGGTCACAAAGTGTCGGACACAACTTAGAGACTGAACCACACTTGTGCCTCAGCCTTCACAGGACGGCCTTCCTCTTAGTCACCCGCTCCCTGGCCCTTCAGTCTGAAGATTTCTTCATTATACTCTTCAAGCCCCTGGTCTTCATTCTCAGCAAACACCTCTTCTAGTCCTTTACTGTGACCAAGGTGCCCCTCAGCCTCCTGACGACCTATACATCCGCATGGACCAGCATCCATGCTGTCTCCTGAGTCTAGCTCCAGTGAAGGTGCTCTTTCCTCCTTTCCAAGACGTCAGACCCTCTCATGTACTTTGTTGTTGTTAAAGTATAGTTGATTTACAATGTTGATTGATTTCTGCAGTACAGCAGTGATTCAGTTGTACCTATGTATATTCTTTCTCACTATGGTTTATCCGGACGTGAGAACTTGGCCATATAGAAGGCTGAGCACCAAAGAATTGATGCTTTCAAACTGCTGGAGAAGACTCTTGAGAGTCCCTTGGATAGCAAGGAGGTCAAACCAGTAAATTCTAAAGAAAATCAACCCTGAATATTCATTGGAAACACTGATGCTATGCTGAAGCTGAAGCTTCGGTACTTTGGCCACCTGATGTGAAGAGCTGACTCACTGGAAAAGACTGATGCTGGGAAGGATTGAGGGCAGAAGGGGATGGCAGAGGATGAGATGGTTGGATGGCATCACTGACTCAGTGGACATGAGTTTGAGCAAGCTCCGGGAAATGGTGAAGGACAGGGAAGCCTGGCATACGTGGGGTCACAAAGAGTTGGACAGAACTTAGCTACTGAACAACAAATGGTTTATCCCAGGATATTGAATAGAGTTCCCTGTGCTCTACAATGGGATCTCATTGCTTATCCTTCCTATATAATGATAGTATGGATCTTGATTCTGACTCCATCTCCTAGGGTCTCATGTTTTCCCTTAGACAAAGAGGATGTCTCAGGGATCGAGGCATTGATGCTGCCCTGCAGTTGCTTACACTCGACTAAGGACGACAGATGTGTGGGGTGGAGATAGCAACAGCCGTGAGTACTGGTCCAGAGAGGAGCTGAGCTCTGGAAGCCCTCTAGGCGACGGGGAGCTTGTGAAGATGACCCCAGAGCTCCCACCAGGCTCTGGTCCACCCCTTCTCACCTGGGAACCTGGTACTGGCTGACATCACCCGAGAATCCCCAGGGGAGCAACTTCATGTCCAAGTGCTACCTCCCTGCTCTGAGCCCACCCACCTGGCCCTCATGATCTGTGTGCCGCCCCCCACGCTCTTCCCTGGGTTCACTTGAGCTCCCTTTCCATTTCTCCCAAAAGTGTCAGTTGTGTCCAGCTCTTTGTGACCACATGGACTGTAGCCCACCAGGCTCCCCTGTCCATGGGGCTCTCCAGGCAAGAAGACTGGAATGGGTTGCCATGCCCTCCTCCAGGGGATCTTGCTGACCCAGGGATTGAATGCCCATCTCTTGCATTGCAAGCAGAATCTTTACCATCTGCATCAACAGGGAAGCCCACCATGAACAAATCCAGTGTGTGAATCTGTAGGGCCATCTGTGTATATGAAACAATCTTGAGATAAATCAGCCTGCTATTCCCCTGGGACTTCAATGCTTCTTCTGGATCAAAAACACTTCCGTAATTAACTGGAAATCTTAGCAGTGTTCCCACAGGTTTTGATGTTGTATTATCTCACTTTTACTTAGAATCATGCATTTACTTTGAACTCAAGAATTCATCTGAAACCATTTAATATGAAAACATTTCTTTTTTCAGTTGCTTGTTATGGAAATCTATCTTAAACTAGCATAAACAGAAAGTAAATGGACTGGCTTCCATTAGCAGAAGTCCAGGGTAGTTGCAATGTCTGCAGGGCAGGACCCTGACCTCCCTTCCCCATCCCAACTTCCCTCGGCTCATCACACACACAGGGTCTCTGCACACATCGGGTAGAAAGTACAGGGAGCCCGGGGGGCAGCTCCTCCTGGCTCAGCTTGTCCAGTGGAAGCACTTATCTATCATCCTGCCTTTCATACAGTAACCCCACGGAGGAGCACAGGTGCAGTGGGACGGGACCCTGAACGACAGACTCAGTAGGGTCACACGGGGATGAGGTAGCCTCTAAATGAATCAGATGTTTGGGAACTAGTGCCAGAGAGACAAGATATAGCAATGCCCTCCCTTCCCAGGGCTTTCACAATTCTGCTTTTCTATCAGCTACACTTTCTAACAGCACTATTACAAAGGTAACTTGGATACATACTGTCAGACACATATAAGAGTGGAAAAGCCCTTTTGTGTCATAGCAGCTCAGTCTTCCAATTATGGAAACACCTGGGCTAATTTAACTGGACTCTATGGCACATCGATATGAAATGTTGTTTCTCTCTGCAGTTGGGGCCATTAAGGAAAAAAAAATAATTAGCTGTCTTTTTATAGCTCTGGGGAGATGAATCAGAACAAGTCATTGGAGACAGTCATCTGTGCTTTCATCTTCCCTCCACCACTTAGATAAACAAGTACCAGAGTACACAGGTTGATTTGAATAAAATTTTTAATTAATAATAAACCTGTTGCATCACTTTGCAGAACCGAAGTACCAGAAGAGACCTCCCAAGGCTGGAGCTTGTTACTTCTTCCTGGAACCGAGCCCACAACATTGCCGGCACTGGTCACCTGCCCTCCTCCCCCAGGTCCACAGTTGTGGGACAGCCTTCATGGCTCAGCTCCCCCAGTCGAGATATAACACAAACAGAAGCAAAACTATTCCATGAGCCCCCACTGGGTGCACCCATTCTCCGAGGTGCTGAACACAGCAGTGAACAATTTCTCGTAGAAACGCATGGGCTCCACCTTCCCTAATTCACAGCTACTCGTCACAGCTGTTGCACTGGACTGGTTTCACTTGTGTCATGCATCCTAGGAACTATGTTGGGGGTGAGGGGAGCCCCCACCACCAGTTTGACCTACGAACTCATCAGGCAGTACCTCTGTCCTACTCACTGTGAAGTAGTGTCTTCAGTGTTGGCACTTTGCTTATTTCTGAAACTTGGAGAAACACATGGATTTTACATCAGTGACTATTCACCTTATGTTTCCTGGTGGTACATTCTTGTTTCACTTTTTGGCTGTATCGTACAGCATATGGGATCTTAATTTTCTTACCAGGGACCAAACCTACATCTCCTGCAGTGGAAGGTAGAGGCTTAACCACTGGACCACCAGGGAAATCCCTCAATTCTTCTTGAATGGCTAATTTTCTACAGCTAAATGGGGTGGAGGTGGGGGCTGCAGGGGGCAGGGAAGAGTAACTTGATTTAAAACACCTTAAATCTCACCATTTTTGTTGTTTTTGATACCTCAAATTCCCAAACTATACTTTGAACTGGAGGCAATCATTGTGGAAGTCTAGTGTTAATACTTTAAACATTGTTCCATCTGTGAGGCATGTAGATTTTGATGCACGTATGTTTGTGTGTGTGTTGAGAACTCTTGCCATGGCTTCCCAACACTTACATGAATGCTCATCACTCTCAGGAGAGCTGGAAAACCAAGGTGGTGATTTTCTGCCTTCTGGGGACAGTTCTTCATTAACTGTCACTACATCTAACTTTATGATCTAACTCTCACATCTGTACATGACTACTGAAAAAAACATAGCTTTGACTATATGGGACTTTTGCCAGAAAAGTGATGTCTCAGCTTTCAATAATATGCTGTCTAGGTTTGTCATAGCTTTCCTGTGAGAGCTGGACCATGAAGAAGGCTGAGCTCCAAAGAATTGATGCTTTCAAATTGTGGTGCTGGAGAAGACTCTTGAGAGTCCCTTGAACAGCAAGGAGATCAACCCAGTCAATCTAAAGGAAAGCAACCCTGAATATTCATTAGAAGAACTGACATTGAAGCTGTAATACTTCGGCCGCCTAATACGAAGAGCCAACTCATTGGAAAAGACCCTGATGCTGGGAAAGACTGAAGGCAGGAGAAGGGGGTGACAGAGGATGAAATGGTTGGACTGCATCACCGACTCAATGGACATAAATTTGTGCAAACTCTGGGAGATGGTGAAGGACAGGGAACTCTGGCATGCTGCAGTCCATGGGGTCACAAAGAACTGGACACAAGTTAGCGACTGAGAAACCTCTTGGTTCCTCCATGTTAATTTAACACAGTTGCTTTGTCCTAGAAATAGACATTATAAGATATTACCCTTGAGACGTGTTTACTTCCGGTTACTTTATAACTGGCTGATGTTTTCCAATCTAAGACTCCCTGTTCAGTTTCTCGTATCACACTGAGTGCACACACAAGGATGCATGCATGTACTCTGCTCTGAACCAGCCTGAATCCCTCACCAGGGTCCAGGGAGGAGACTACAAATGTGCTCGCACCACTGCTTGATACCAGTCCCTTCATACCCACAGCCAAGCAACATTAGTTAAAACTGCACTTTAAAAACACCTTAATAGTTGGGATAGGAGAACTTTTTAAACAAAAAATAAAGCAAGTATAGATATCCAAACAAAATGACAAAATGTGATACATGTTTAATAACAAGAAACTTTATTGAATTACAAATTTAAAAATGGCTCACTTAAAAGTGGGACTATTTTATTCTTCTTACACTCATTCTTTCAAAAATTCATGTTATTTTCCAAGTGATAAAAGGTTACTCTGTGACCTGACAAAGTGGAGGTGGTACGGCACCAGTGGCCAATTCTTACATGTGGGGTCTTCATGTGGACTTCTGGAAGTTTTCTCTACTGCATCAAACTGACCTGCGGTGAGCAGTGGAGGGGCGGGGAGGCGGGGGAGCGTGCAAGCTGGTGCTGAAGTCTTTCCATAGGGGTGGGAAAGTGGAGATGGAGCAGGATGAGATGTGGTCCTCATAACTGGGGACTCAAGATATGCGACAGCCAGTGTGAGATCGTTCTTCCTTATTCCCAACCAAGCAGATGGCACACACTTAACTGCAAGGTCCGTCCCATAAACGTGGGCCGTGTTATAGCCCACGCATTTGTCTGTCCCTCAGCCTTACTCCTGTGTAACAGAGGCAGCAAGTCAGTCAGGACAGAAATGTGCCCCGTCAGTCTCCATATGGAAAGACCACAGCTTAATGATCTCTATAAGCCTTAAAGTCCTCAGGACAGATTTCCAAATCAAAGTCAAGTCAGGAACTGTTCACAGGAACCACACTATTCTAAAACGCTAACATCTTCCTCCCAGTGTGTCTTCCTACAAAAGGAAAAAATGGTCCAAATTTTCCACTCTTTGCCTGTCTGGGATTTATGAAAAGCATACCAAATTACAACAGTGTTCTGAAAAACTAAAATACACTACAAAGTCAAATAGGTAAATAAACAACAAACCAAACTGATTTCAACAAAGTCAAGTCATATTTCCAAAAGCCAAAATCTATTAAGAACAAGTAATACACATGTACAAGAAATTACAAGAAATGAGGATCACAGTTAGTTACAAATGCAAAAATAATATCTAATTATCCCAGACTTGTGAACAGAATAATTAAAATCAATTTCATATGCTAGTTCAAATATTATATACAATTTAGATAAGCTGGTCAAGTATTACTTGAATACACACCATGTCTGATAAACTTATAATTACACTGCCTCTTATCCTCTTTTAATATTTGTAGGTACATGCCAATATAGGAAAAAAAATGTAATTTCCACTTGTGTGTTTACTGAGAAGAGTAACATTCTATTGTGTATGTTTCATATTGTAAAAAAGTTGTTACATTTTAAGAAGGAAAAAAAAGGTAAAAATTAACTGCCAAAAGTTTAATATCAACTTATAAAACTGAAAAAAAAAAAGTTTTGAAACAGATACCATTATGTCGTCTCCCTACTGACCTGAAACTACAGAAGGCGTTTAAGGAAGGGACACTATGTCAAAACCAGAGACTAACCCAAGGGAGGCAAGTTACTTTAAAAATCTGATTTGCAGGAAAACTAGCTAGTTGACCTAGTCTTAAAGCTAATTACAAAATCCATCTTCTTAATGGTCCAGATGTTTTGCCAATGCTTCCAACTCAACAGAACTGTCAAAAAAGAAGAAATATTTTGTGAGACCTTTAAATACAGACAATGGGGTGTACCTCCTTGCCCTGTTCAACATAGCATACAACATGACACTGCTAAAGAAAGAAGCATTTTTGAAAAATATGCTATATTTTCCAGACATGAACAGTCACCTATATTGTGTTTGACTCTTCCAACTTAGAACAGATAAGCATACATAAAGAAATAGTATAAAATATTTTCTTATTAAGCACTCTCTCCATAATTCTTAGGTTAAAAAAATTAATTCCAAATTTGAACTTCCAGAGTAAGCCACCGTAGGCATCAGCTTTCTACATTACACTGAATTTTCTTAAATCCAACAGGAACTATGTCAGCACTTTGCAGCAAACTGCCTGTATTCAATACAAACTGTGATATACCCAGTCTTCCTCCTCATAATGCTAAACAAATCCAGGAGAGTGCTGGAAAAACCAAGTTTGCCCAACAGGATTGAACAGCATGAACATCCCTCCTGTAGACCAGTTAAAGAAGCTGCCAGCTCTGGACAGGAGACACTGCTTCAAGCCATGAAGACACTGTCAGCACCATACCTCCAGGCCCAAGAACAGAACCTCTGTGTGTAACAGAGATTAACACCTGGAACACTGCTAGAGCCCTCCTCTCACTGTCTTTTTTGTTCACTTCTGATCTCAGGAAATGCTTTTACCTCTGTGATTGTTTCAAAGTAAGGAAAAGTCTAAGGTAAGAATAATTTGAAAAGAAGCTTGTAGCATTTTCACACACACACAAAACTAATCATAAATCGAAAGCATTTTTGGAGCATCAACAATGACCAAAGGCACTTTAAAATTTATCATTTCTACTACTCAGCATGACCTGTAATGTGGGTCTTATTCATATTTATCTGTGAGAATATTACAGTTCAGCAACAGTAAGGGGCAAAGGAGCCCAAAGCATGTCTGGCTCCAAAGCCCACCTTCCTCCCGTGGGAGCCCCCAGTCACACGCTCCTAGTGTCCCCACTTCTGTTTTAGGTGTGATGTTTCTGTGGCTCACAGAAATCACTGAAGAGTGAATCATTCATGTAACATAAGTTGCCTGTGTGGGGCTAATTTAGGAGAACACAGGCAACACAAAAAAAGGCTTGGTGAGCCTACCAGATCATGGCGGTGCTCATCTGGATTTCCTAGAATGAAGACTAAAACCAGTGGGCTGGATTTCAACGAGGTAAAATAGTTTTTCCAGAAAGAAAGCACACAGAGGCTCGCGCACAGGTGCAGGCGTGCTGGAAGAACAGGCACGGGAGCACCTGGGTGGACACAGGAGCTGCACCTCTAAGCTCAGGCCCCGTGGCTCCTGCACCAAGACCGGGCGGCGGGCCGCGTGCGGAGTCGCCGTTCTGGTTCTAGCAGGGCACCGGTGTGACCCACGGCAGACGCCAGCCTGGGGCAGTGTGAGCGTGGGACACACGGCACAACCCCCCGAGAAGGGCCGGGGTAGCCCCCCCAGGGAGAAACCACCCCACAGAGCGGGCGAGCAGGAAACCCGCGGCGCGCCCCACCTTCCACCGGTTTCCACACTCGTTGCAGACGACAAACGTTGTCATGGGTTCATCAGCACTCCGCGTTTGTACCTATGGCAAAGTTGGGTGAAAAACACTGTTTTTCACACTACTACAGAAAATCCAACCTAAACTAGAATATCCTACATGAACTACAATGGTAGCACAATAAAATGTGTAACAGTCCAAAACAAGCTATTAATAAATTAGAGAAATAATAAGGAAAGAACACACATTTCCAAACAAAAGTCCTTGTCTTCTCACCTTTATCCCAGAGAAGTGGGAAAATCATCTAAACTCACACATTATACTACTAATAAATGGCTAACAAATATGAAAAATTTTCATCATAGCTAAGAAGCACAGAAATGCTAATTAAAAGAACTCTGTTTTCTTATAAATTCGCAAAAACATAAAAATTACAAATACTTCATTCTGACAAAAACTGCCAAAACCTTTCTAAAAGTCAGACAGCAACAAGAGCCTTAAATACCCATCTGCTGTGACTGAGGAACTTGACATCTGCTCTAATATAAGACCGTAACTAGAAACACAAAGTTCTCTTGATATGTTTTGAGAGAGATCTCTCAAGTATAAGGATACATTCTTAATGCTAACAAATCCAGCTAACTGAAAGTAAGTTGGTATTTGTCTTGAAACAGGAGCTGAGTGAGCCTATAATAGCCACACACCTGTGTGTAGGTGCAGTTCTTCTTCTTACACTTGCCGCACGTGAACAAGTCCGTCTGGGTCCCGCCCGTCTTGGCCATCTGATGCTCTCTGATGGCTTCTTTGGTCAAGTTTTTCCGCATCTCTTTGAGCTCATCACTAGCCATCTCCTGTCATAAGGACAGCAATACCACCCAGTTACAGGCACCTTCTATACACATGCAGAATGCTGTTTATGCTCCAACAGTTTAACAGTAATAGGATTAAAATCAACTTTTAAAGTTTTGAAAGTGAAACATCATATTTTTCCTCAAAGGACTCATCAGTTTGCTTAATCTTACATTTTCCCCAAACACTCTGAAGTCTATATGTGAAAACTGCATTTAATGCAATCCTATGGTGATGAGCGTATCCAGACCACGGTCTACTACTGCACCCACCTCCTCTTCCGGAAAAGGAACCAGGGCCCTCAGAGGAATGTCTGGTTCCAGTTTTGAGTCAAGAAATGCACAAGACAGGCAGGGTATCTCCTTATGCCAGGAAGCGGGGGAGCTGCCTGACCACTGTGAGTGCATCACTGGACAGAAGGGCTACGTGACAGAGCTCCACTGACCAGACAGAGTATAATATCTTCAGCCATCATGATAAATCATTGAAAAGACCAACCCCACTGGATAAATAAAGTCACAAGTCTGTGACGACACTTAAAAAAGTAGAGAACACACACATGCAAAAATGGCAACAAAAGCCCCCATTGGCGGTTAGTGGGGTGCCAACCACTCCTTCTGACAACTGTTAACCAAAGGGAAGAATTACACACTCACCTGCCTTTCCTATCCTAACCAACAGCCTTAAACTCAGGGCAAGTGCTCCTTTATCAAAGAAGTCTAGCTAAGGAAGGTGAAAGGACTTTCAGAACTCTAGAAATCTCTGTTTTGCAACTCCTAATGGCAACACCAGTTCAGGCAAGGATCATCAGAGGGTGAACACGCAGATGAAAGGCCAGTGGAGAACCTCACAGAGAAGGGATGAGACTGTCCGTACAAATCCCTGATAAATTTCCACATCCGAAGAGAACAAGATACGTGTCTCCTGAGGTGATGCAGTATGAAGTAAGAAGGACCACTGATGAAGCATTTGTGCAGGGAAAGTTAACCTATACGTAATCTAAGCCTACAAAACTAGCTTCCAGTTCACAGAAAAGAATCGAGACAGAAAAATTAGCATAATGAGGAAGAAACGGGCAATTCAGTGTGAGATACATAAGAGATAACCCAGTTTCTTCAATAGGTCAATGTCATGGAAGAAAAGGGGGCTGGAAAAGGAGACTTAACTATGCTCATACAGTCTTAAGAGACCAAGCTTAAGATGACATCTAGACTTCGGATCCTGATACAAAGCAAATGCGCAATCAGGAACATACAAGGACTATAAACCGGATATCGGATACACCAAGGAATCATCATTAGACTTGCTGGATGCAGTGATGACAGAGTAGCTACATAAGAAGAATGTCAGATTTTTAGAGATTTCTCTCAAGGATAGAGAGGTGGAAAGATATAATGTCTGGAATTTGCTTGAAAATAATTCAGGGGAAAAGAAAGAAAACAAAGAAGGGATAGATGATAAACAAGTGACAAATTACTTAATATACTTGAAGATTAGGTGATGGGTAGATAGGACTTCATTACACTATGCTCTGTGCTTTGTGAAAGTTTACAATTATTCTAATGAGGTTTTAAAAAATGAATCTTAAAAATATAACAGTTTTTATTATATAGAAAGATAAATTTACTTGGATGCTCAGTAAGACAGTGAGACTGTAGACACACTTCAGCTTATATCTATGAACAGCTACACTTAAAAACAGCAAACAATGAATTTCATTTTCTGCATCACTTTCTAAATAAATATAAGGATAGTCAATAAGATGTAGACAATCTTATAATATTTAACCAAGAAAAGAGCTTAGAGGTTACAAAGTCTGTTTGCAATTAGAGATTTAATTCTGATTATACATGAATCTATAATAAATAACATTTTCATTTTTTGACAATAATTTAATAAGGTAACCACTCAAAGATCATGGTACAGTTATGAAAGGGACAAAGTACTGATGCTAATAGATTCAATCACCTTAAGTTCTTGTCTAGTACACTGTATATACTGTGTATAAAAGTATATTAGGATAGTTATTACATATGTAGTATTTATACAGTACTTCATAATTTAAACAGACTTTACACTTGACATCATGGAATACCATCACAGAAACGTTCTATTCAAATACACTCACCTCTGCTGTCATTCTAGCAAACAAGTCAGGAGGAATGTGCCCACATAGCACGTTTTTCCTTAAATTTGGATTTTTGGCATCCTTAAGATTTGATATCCTACTTCGTACTCTATTTTTGTATTTCATGTCTGTATTCCTTATTTCTTGATAGATAGGTACTAGGCCGTTAAAGAAAAAGGTTAAATTATAAAGGTCCTAAGATCATTTTTTTCCTATTCTGCCACGATAAGAATTTCTGAAATTTCTAAGCAGTATTTCCAATTCAGATTAAATTAACAAGGCACTATTTCTGCCTGATTTCCTGATCAGTACCTGGCAAAAAATAGTGATTGTATGCTATGTGATTTTATGCTATGAATAAGCAATACTTTCTCAATGTTTAATGCCAAGTGACACAGATTAAAAGGTTTAAAAATGTAACTCAGGTATTCAATCTGAGTGAGAAAACTTTAGGAAAAGAGCTTGAACTTGTACATGCTTTCCCTGGTCCAAATCTGCATTCTGCCAAGGATCCTAAAAGCCTCAAAAAGACCACACAGCTCCTTTGAGGGCCTCCTGAGAGAAGACAGTTTGCAGTGGCCTGGAGGTTCATCTCCTTCCAGCTCAGCAAGAAGCCAGGTTAGCAGGTAGTTTTTCTCAATGGGACAGGCTCCAACAGGGGCCCAGCCCTAGGGCAGCCACCCCTCAGCCAGGACAGGCCCGTGGTACACTGTCATCTGTCACCAAACGGTCCCTGCTCCCCGGACCCATGTGTAAGACTCCCTCTACCCGACCAGAGCTCTTTCTGAGGCACCCAGTGTGAACGCACAGGACGATGAGCTCAGGTGATTTCTATGCTTTGCTGAGGGTGCCCCTCCACAAGGTGAGACCCCACTTTACACTTGCTATCACGTGTCCATGAGAAGTTACAGTTTCAATTTGCAAGGTGGAAAAATAAAAACACTATCACTATTATGTGTCTTATTTTGCATAACAGAAAAACAAGAATAACATGTCACAGACAGCCTTCCCCTTTCCCACCAAAACAATCAAGACAGAAACTGTAGAATAAGATTTTCTATTCTTTACAGGAGGAAAAAATAATCTAGTGGATTCCTGACACCATTATGAATATACATGCAAAGGATATCTTCTTCGATCTGAGAACCCAACTCTTCCTCGTCAGCTCCAATGGCGATGTAGTCATCTAAACACAGACACAGAGAAGTATCATGAATGAATGATTACAACATATTAAAAGAAAACTTCAGTACAGAGCCAATCAAACTGTATTCCTATCTCTTCAATCCCACTTGCCCTGTACAAAGAATCCTTTCGGTATAGTTTCCTTAGAACCTGGTCTTCTTTATGACCCCTTCGGCTCCTCCTCTGGATTCACCTCGTGTCCACAGGGCTCCTGCATGGATTATGCCTTATCCCTCAGGAGTCGGGGAGTCATGAATCCAGTAGGCAACCCCTCATTGCACAACTCCAGAAATTCTGGCTGCTCTCACAGAGAGCAGAGAAACTTATGCAAAAAACTGTCTTGTCTCCTTCCCGCCTCAGGCTTCCATGCAAAGAAACCGTTCATTTCATCTGTCAATCACATATATGGACAGATTCAGAAGACTACTAGGCAAATGTTCAAAGTGACAGAAGGAAACAAAAAGAAACTAGGAAGAAACAAGAAAACATACATAAAGAGATAGTAAAGGAATCAGAGTAAAGAAAAGGCAGAGTAAGAAGAGAAATAGGTCATACTAACCAAGGTTCAATATAATAGAAAAGGATGAATTTTTAGTAGACAATAAATACATATTCCTATATATGAAACTTTAAAGCCAAAATTTTACATAGGAATGAATAACTACAAATTAAAGCTCCCATATATAAACCAAGATCTCTTTCCCATTTAAAAAAAGGAGGAAACAAAACTATGAATATAAAACTTATTATATGTCATAGTAACATTTAACAACAGGACAATAATACAGTATCATTAACTCTCAATATGAGGGAGGGATACTGAGTTTTCAGACTAAATGTGAGGAGAAAAAGGATTGTGAAAAAGAGTTTAAATAACTGTGACTCAGGGGAACATTCACCAGAAGGAGGAACCTATTGTTTCTGAGAATCACACGTAATAAGCAGAGCCCTGGATGCCTGCGCCTTTCTGCTCTCAGTAGCGCCCGTCGCAACACCCTCTCCCTGGGCTGGGCGGTGGGGGGCAGCAACCATCGGGATTCCACCCGGAGGATGACATGAGGTGGGCAGGGCAGCGGCGGCCTTGGTCAAAGGACTGAGCGATGACACTTACCTCCCGTTCGTAGAGCAGCAGCGAGCATCTCCCTGCACTTTAACCGCACAGAATCAGAAGTACTCGGCGCCCGAGGAAAAGATGAGACATACGTGTCCCGGGCATTGGTCTCGTCCTTTCTGCTGCTCATGTTGCCGCTAGAGCTGCTAGAATATACACACACACACAGACACACAGAAAAAGAAGTCAGGAAAACTCTTTTAAAGTGAGTATCATTACCACTACTTTCTAAAAACAATAATTCTGGGCCTAAATAAATGAAATAGTATTCCAGTGACTCTTAAATGGAAAACAAAAAAACAAAACACCTGCCTGTATATAGATTAAAAAGAAGTTAAAACTTTAGTAAAGATGAGACAAGTCTTATTTTTTTAACCTTGATTCTCCTTTTAAACATTAAACAATATCTTTAATACAGAAAACACACATTACAGCTCAATACAGCACATGAAAAGACAGGATCTCAGTTACAAGCAGAGGGGGTGAGGGGAGGGCACATAGGCTATGATCACTCTCAACCAAAACCAGAGAGAAAAATGCTGGCAAACCCTGCTCCAATCAGACAACCAGTGAGGTTTATACATGAGACACCGCTTCAGGATAAAAACCACATGTAGTCAGAAGTAGTCGTGAAAATACAAACATCTCTTAATTTCTCCCTAAAAACATCAATACCATTGGGACAATTTAATAACTTTTCCAGTTGACCTAATCACTTCAACCACTCCTGATTAACTTCCTGTGTTAGATTCTTACTGAAATATTTTCTGACTGGTTTCAGTTAATTTTTGCCACAGTAAAGATCTCTGCCAATTAGTTCTGCCGAACTAATCCTGCCTTTCACTCCACGGACGTCACCTGCTGCTCTCTGCTGGCAGGTAGCCCCTTGCCCTCACCCGTAACCCAGCCGACATCCACACACAGCCTGCATGGGCCCGGCAGCAACTCTGCAGGCCTTTTGAGGTCAGTCCTGTGTTTCTTGAAGCCTCCATGACCCCTGTCTCCCAAAACACACAAGCTTCTATGAAGTGAAATACCTTTCCTCTCTTGCTTCAGGGCTATTCTGTGACGTAACTGCAGTATCTTTTTTCTTTTCTTCAGAGTCTTTATCTGTTGATGGTCCATCTGAAAATTTATGAAATTCCTAAGTTTCAGCACTTGTTAAAACGAAACAAAAAACAGGACTACTGCATTTTATCAAGCTATTTATGCAAGCAAAAAAAAAAAAAACCCAATAAAATCCTAAGCTTTTAACAAGTAAATGAAGTTTATGCAAGCTATTCTATTAGCAAATGTACATGGAAAAAACACTGCACATAAAAAAATTTAAGTGCGAAGTATATATAACAATGCTGTTTGACAATTTTTCATGAAGTAAAAAAATTTGAGGTGGTACTCAAAATACAAATAAATATTTCAGAGATAGTAAATAAAGAAGATTTTCATAGACTATAGTTCAGGATTATTAGTTACGCCTACTCAGCATCTCCTCTATCTTAAATAATCTGAAAACTAATACAGGTTATTAATACTAATAAAGCATAAGCTTTAAGACTTAAGGAAGTGAGTAATCAGACATGGAAAAATGAAGTACATAAAATAGGTTGGGCGAAGGCAACAGTTTAGCACTGGAAAGAAACATTCACATTTATATCAACCAAAACAGCTTTGAAGCTGGGTTCAGAAATATTTGGACCCACTGCGTGAACTACCCCGGTTTGGTCTACCTTTTGATCCACACGCGAGTCCCAGAGCTGCATGAATAACTCACCTCTCCACTGCCCTCTCTACAGAACATGGAAGAACATTCACCCTTGAGGCAGGACCGCCCAGGCAGCTCTAAGCTCCCACTTGAACACTCCATTCAGCTTCTGGCGGAGAAGGGGGTTCGAGTGTCCCCAGACGACGCTAACAGGCCACTCTGGAAGGGACTGACTGACAGAGGACGGTCCCAACCACAACTCCAGAACTATCATGGGAATCCAGTCCTCATGACACATGTCAGTTCTCAGAGACTAACTGTATTGCCCCCTTTACTCTATGATTCTCTGGAAGGCCTGAAGATGCTATGGTATCATGAGGAAGAAAGCACAGATCAGCGATGACATTTCAGAACAGAGCAAGGATCAAGACATGTTCCCACAACAACAGGGGGGTTCTTCAGAAAGGTGACATGATGCATTGTGTCCGACTCTCTGCATCCCCATGGACTGTATAGCCCACCAGGCTCCTCTGTCCATGGGATCCTCCAGGCAAGAATACTGGAGAGGGTTGCCGTTTCCTTCTCCAAGGGATCTTCCTGACCCTGGGATTAAGCCCAGGTCTCCCACACTGCAGGCGGATTCTTCACCATCTGAGCCACCAGGGACAGGTCATACAATCAGGCAGTACCGCCTAACAAGGTCCAGTAATGCTGGGGAAGCAGTAACGCTGCCATGGTGCACTGTACACTAGGGTGGCCCTCTGAGAAGGCAGGGCAGTAAGAGGCAGGAACGGTCGTAAAAACACTCCAACCTGAGCAGAGGGTGGTGAGCCATGCAGCAGAGCCCGGCTCAGAGGGCTCAGATCACACCCTAGCTCAGCCGCTCAGCACCCCTCCTGCTGTTGCTGCTAAGGCGCTTCAGTCGTGTCCAACTCTGTGTGACCCCATAGACGGCAGGCCACCAGGCTTCCCCGTCCCTGAGATTCTCCAGGCAAGAACACTGGAGTGGGTTGCCATTTCCTTCTCCAATGCATGAAAGTCAAAAGTCAAAGTGAAGTTACTCAGTCATGTCCGACTCTTTGCGACCCCATGGACTGCAGCCCACCAGGCTCCTCTGCCCATGGGATTTTCCAGGCAAGAGTACTGGAGTGGGGTGCCATTGCCATCTCCGCAGCACCCCTCCTACTGCACACAAACAAGGCACCTGATCTCTCAGTGCCTTGACTGCCTCAGCACACGTGGGGGTTACAGCAGTCCCTCGACTGTCTCAGCACACGTGGGGTTACAGCAGCCCCTCGACTGTCTCAGCACATGTGGGGTTACAGCAGCCCCGAGCACGCGGGACAGTTGGGAGGACTAAGTGCACTAATACAGGTCCACGCATGGTGTGTCTTAAGTTTCAGAGCTGTGCTACCCAGAAGCAGTAGGAAAGATCCCAGAAATCTAGCTAACAACCTAAATGGCAATCCTTTCTGGTTTGGAATCTAATACAGGGTCATATATTTCATTAGTTTTCTTAAGGCTAAACTTTCTAAATTTCAAAGGCTTTACAATTTTTGGTTACTGGTTTCCAAGTTCTTATATGTAATAAGTCTTTTATTATTACTGCTGCTATCTATGAAGTTTTAAAAGCTTCACTTTTTTAATTTTCTCCTCCACATGAGGCTGGTAACTGCTCAGGAGATGGCTAGTTCCAGGGCTGGGATAGATAAGCCCAGCACGTTGCGTGGTGCCAGAAAGCAGGAAAGAGGTTAAAAAACAACAACAAAAGAGCAAGGAGCTTGTCAAAGAGACACAGAAGCAAGTTTGAGGGGTGCCCAGTGGTCACAGCTGGGACAGTGTGAATATCAAAACAAATATGAGCAGGAGTGGACTATATAATCCATTATACAGAACAGGAACCTGTGTGTCCACACTCAAAACAGAAAAAGTACTGGGGGGCAAGATGAGGGTTCTTACAGAATGATGATGTGTGAAAACTCAAAAAGTAGGAAAACTAGAAAATCATAATTTTGCAACTGTCACCGGAAAGAATGGTTTGGGCAATAATTGGGGGGATATCAAATGGGGGTGGGGGAAGGTCTGACAGGGAGCAGCACCATAGTTTCAGGGTCCTAAAGTGATTCCCACAGATCTCCTATTAGACATGAGGAGAAATCATCAGTGATGCAGTGTACATCTTGGCTGGGTCTCAGAAATAACACCGTCCTATCTCTGTACACCGCACCCCAGAAGGATACAACACACATGTGCGGCAGCCCAACTGTGAACACACAACCGGATCGAATCATGAGAAAATGCCAGATACAGCGCAAATAGCGGTCCAGTGGTTAGGACTCAACACCTTCACTGCAGTAGGCCCAGATCCAGTCTCTGGTTGGGGAACTAAGAGCCTGCAACATGCACTGCGCAGGCCAAAAACACACAAAAAACCCCCCACACAACAGGAGAGGGAGAGGAGGACGGGGGCATGTGTTCTTCAGAAGTCAATGTCCTAAAAGACATAAAAAGCTTAAGGATGAGAAAAAAGCTGGAAAAGTAATTACTGGGACAACTGACAAAACTGGAACGAATGTGCACTGCAGATTAAGGTAACTGTACCAATGTTAAATTTCCTGAATTTCCTGTATTAGGATTATGTAAAACACACACTTAAGTTTTAAAGAGTAAATGAAGAAGAGAAATCCACCTATTCTCAAATAGTTTGGAAAAAATAGTGTATGCATCAGGATATACATAAAGAGAAAAAGAGGAGAGAAACTATGACAAAAGAAACATGGCAAATACTAAAGATGAATGCCCTAGAAAAATGACATGTGAATTATTTTTATTATTTTTGAAAATTTTCTCTAAGTTAGAAATAGTTTTTTTCAAAAAGTGGGACACCTTCCCCTTGGGGAAAAATTGTCTTCTTAAAGAGGCAATCCAGGGGAGAAGGGAGGGGAGATGCATGGAGGGAATAACAGGGGAAACTTACACACCAAATGTAACATAGACAGCCAACGGGAATTTACTGTATGACTCAGGGAACTCAGACAGGGGCTCTGTGACAATCTAGAAGGGTGGGATGGGGAGGGAGGGGACATGGGTCTACTGATGGCTGATTCTTATTGATGTATGACAGAAAGCAACAAAATTCTGTAAAGCAATTATCCTTCAATTAAAAAATAAAGTGGCAAAAAAAAGAGGCAATCTAGTTGTAAATATTAAAAAAACAAGAAAGTTAAATCTGACTAGCTTGAAAAGCAGATCCCTCAAGGAGGTCAGACTAAAGCCCCCTCCCAGATTATAAAGTACTGATTTCAAAACACCTATATTCATTAAAAGAAAAAAAATTCAACAACTCAATGTTTGAATAAACCATATCATAAATATATGTAAGGGAAAATACCTAATAACTTTTTCCAGGATTTGATGAGGGACTTTGCTAAAGATGTAACTTCTTCATCTGTGCTCTGCTTGCGAATAGCATTCACTGACATTCCAATTCTTGTGGACTGCAAGGCAATGACAAGAAAAATGTACACAAGCAATTTTATTTCAAGCAATTCATTGTTTGATTTTCTTGTTTTCCAAATGCCGCTTCATTTTAGAACAGAAAAAACATCAACTGTGTGAATTCTTTTAGCAGTAGACTACAGACTTAAGACACACACATCAAGGGTCTCACCACCGAGATCTGCTGGCATGCTAACTCGCTACTGAAGTGAGGCTGGTCAACTAGTAAAATGAAATCAGTCTCTCTCACAAGAGAACAGAACATAAAGCGTCTGTGTGTGTATGCAAGGCAGGCAGATGCAACCATGGCCCACACACACACCCACTTTGCTTCTTCACATTCTCCTGCACAGATTACTATGTACATCACGTGCTGCACCTTATAAAGCGGACACCTAAACAAATACTACCATCCACACAAGGTTAAACACCAGCACATAATCACAGATACTAAAAATGGACTTCACAGAATACAGACAACTTAACTTGTGGTGATATATATGCTCAGGGTCATGCTGGGAGCACCCATATTCATCAGCCTTCCCAAGATCCTTTAAAATCGAGATCATCATCCCTATTTTTAAAGATGAAGAGTCTTTAAAATACACTTCCAGTCAATAAATAACCTGGAAGTGTCAATAAATAACCTGGCCGGCATCACACCATTACTAAATGGCAAAACTGGGATTTTAATCCAAGTCTGTCACCTCAAAATCCATGCTCTTTTTCCACACATCAACTGTCTTCAAACTGTGCTCAGAGAACATAAAGGTTCTGATGGCCAATTATGGATGATAAATAAAAAATGGTGACTTAGTTAGTAAATTCAGGTTGTCAGTAGACAATCTCTCAAAATATGGTTATGGAAGAAATAAAATAACAAAAGGAACTGTTCGTGAGAGTTAAGGGAGCCCCTGCTATAAACTTTAAAGCTGAGAAATAAATGGATCCTTAAGATTTCCTTTTAAATTACTCAATGCACTCAACAAAGAGATTTGGGGCAGCTGTTGAAGAATCTAGAATATGTGTCTGACTGGACTGCCCTGTGTTGTCTCTCGGAGAGTGGAGCACGGCGGAGGAAGTTTCCACAGCAGACACACACAGGGGACTCACCACCCTAAAACCCCAAGGTGGTTTGAGATCAGCATTTGGGGGATGTTTTCCCCACAGAAAGTAGTTTCTTTCTTGTAGAAGATAGTATGTTCTAAGAACTTTTTTCAGTGAAGAAAAACTGTTAGAACTTTAGAATGCTTTAGAACTTCTCTAAAGCACTGCCTTCTCAGCTGGTGGGGCATGCACTTGAATGCAGAAGCAGGCAACATTTTACTATGATGTACATCACGTGCTGCACCTTATAAAGAGGACACCTAAACAAATATTACTACTCAGTAGATTACTAATTTATGTTACCATCTTTTAAAAAAACAAAAGCAAGTTAATAATGTTTTACACTGTAAGAGGAAAATACAAAAAACTTATATTGGTATTGAAGATGTTTCAGTATTTTATGACAATTACCTAGTCAAAAATTATGACATATGTTAGCACTTACCTGTAATAGTTCCAGGGTCATGGGAATATTCTTAAGCTCCTTCAGTAAATCCAATGCTCCAGCCTATAAAATAAAATAATTTCAAACTAAATTCTCCAGAGAGGAAAGCAAAGACTAACCAGAGATTTAAAAGTATATTTTCCTATCCACGATTCACTGAGAGTCATTTATTCATGTGAGGAGAATGATATATAGAGATATAGACACAGAGATGAAAGAGGAAAAAAAGAGAGAGGAAAGTTTTTTCCAAACAGGCTGCAACTCACTAGAGGATCATAAAATCCATTTACTGGGTTGTTAACCAGCACCTATGTGTTGTCTTGTGAAAGTTTACTTTCAGTAGTATTTGTTTATGTGTCCCAACTAGAAATATGCAATGTTTCTCACTGTAGTGGTACAATACCCCCAGACTTCCATGCAGGGCAACTAGCTATGGAAGCAGGAGTGGGAGAGTGGTGGTGGTGGGGGCACCGCTTCTCTAGAATTCTCACCATGCCTCTGCACCTCACAGCTCAGACTCAAGGACACTGTTGTCTACCTGGTTCTTGCATGGTAAGAAGCAAATTCTGAAAGGAAATCCAGAAGTGAGGTCTCTGTTAAGCTCGCAGGCCCATCTTCTGCCAGGGCTCTGATTCCCATCTAGAATCAAAGGCTCCCATGCAGCTGATGAGGATGAGACTTAACACTGACGCTAAGGGGGCTGGAATTACATGAGAAGCAACAGTGCCACCTACAGCTTGGGGTCAACGTTCCAACGTGATACTCATTCAACCAACCACACTTCAGTTCAGTTCAGTTCATCTAATACATTTAACTTAATCAATCATATTTCATTTAGTCTAATAGTGACTTAATATACTCTATTTAGACAGATCATCATTCTACATACCACTAATAAAAAAAACTATTAAAACTATCATAAACTTTTCTTTTCACTTCTTTTTACTTTTGCAGTTACTTTAGACTTGGAATTTTTGTCATATTACCTTTTACATATAGAAAAATATAATCAAAACTGGCTAAGGTGGTGGTTCTAAAACTATTTTGCAGAGTCGAACACTTATGATTACCTATTGACTCAGATTCAATAATATCTGATTTTAGCCCACAAAAAGCTGTGTCAAAACACTAGTAACACAACATTTCACAAAAGAATCCATAAAAGAGCTCCGAGCTCTGAGCCATCAGCTCTTTGCAGGCACCAGGGTGGGCTCTGGATGTGTGAGCCTGCTGCCTTTACCCCACTGCTCTTCTCCCACTGGCTTCTCGGGGGGCCAAGAGCACCCCACTACTCTCAGATTTCCTTCCAAGTCACTGACACCTGCTCCGCAATGTCAATGCTGGGCTGGATGTCCTGTCTGTGAAAGTACACCTCAACAGCCATCCAGCCAGCAAGACATGTAACTCATTCTGCTTTCTGAAATGTTAAAATATGAAAATTAGGCACTCCATGAACTAGTGAAACACAGCACACCCAGGAAAACAGAAAGCCCAGAGCAAGGAACAAGCATGGAACCTCATGGTATCACTGTATTTCTTTTTTTTTTTTTTTAATTTATTTATTTATTTATTTATTTTTTTTTATCACAACCATAGTGTATCTTTTTTTTTTTTTACATGTATTCCCCATCCCGGTCCCCCCTCCCACCTCCCTCTCCACCCAATCCCTCTGGGTCTTCCCAGTGCACCAGGCACGAGCACTTGTCTCATGCACCCAACCTGGGCTGGTGAACTGTTTCACCCTAGATAATTATACGTGTTTCAATGCTGTTCTCTTGAAACATCCCACCCTCGCCTTCTCCCAGAGTCCACAAGTCTGTTCTATACATAGGAGTCTCTTTTTCTGTTTTGCACATAGGGTTATCGTTACCATCTTTCTAAATTCCATATATATGGTATCACTGTATTTCTTAAGTCTAAAATCAAGCAAAGGTTTCTAGCCAGATAATTCTTCCATTTAAAGTTGACAGATGTGACCCTGGAGAATAAAACAGTATTAACTTTTCTTCTGGCAACAGACACATCCTTTTAATTTAACTCAGAACCTCCTAGCTAAAAACAAGTTCAATAGGAATTATGAAACAAGTCATTATAAAGGATTTTTAAGGATCCCCCTCTTAAGAGATTCCTCCTGACCATAAATTCTATAATTTCTTTTTATTTAGAGGCAACTAAAAATAGAAAAACATTAGAGTTGTTAAAAAATAAAACACTGACTTTAAATTTACTGTTAATCAAGATTTTTATATGCATGCCATTTTTGTGAGCAAGTGTCTTCAATCCTGTATCTGCAAATCCCCAAACCAAAATCCTTTAAAAACCAAAAGATTTCCCATAAATTTTCAATAAACTCACTTGGCAGTAACAGCTAATCTCGAAAGATGTACAGAGCTATTTAGTTCTATTTATCCTACTTAATGTGTGAATGTTACATTTCACTATAGAAATGCCAATGTCTGATTACCGGGAACTGCCCAGTTCTCACTGACGATACTATGAAATATGTATCGTCATATGATGTTTGTACTATACCACTATCTTTCTAAAACTGAAAAATTTGTATAAAACTGAAAAATATGTATCGTCATATGATGTTTGTACTACACCAATATCTTTATAAAACTGAAAAATTTGTAATTCTCAAATACGTTAAAGACTCTGAAGATTTTGATTATGAGACTGTTTGCCTGTATCCTTATCTACCGTAGATATTTTTCTTCTATTCATGTCTCTGTGGTCTTTTTGAACAATTTCTGACCTAGGATCAATTAAAAGTGAAGATAATCACAATTAAGAGTCCCTTAAAAAGCAGGGTCTCCTTAGGTTTACATAAAGCTGGGTTGCATATAAAGTTGATTCTTCTAACACATCAGCAATGTGGCTTAAGGTCTAGGGTGTTTTTCAAGCAGAAAGAAGCAAGAGATTTGCATTAATTTCATCACACTCTCCTTTTTCACTCGGATCTCTTTGATGAGATTGGGGTTAGAGATATAGGCTATGGAAGGAAGGAAAGGTTTAACACTTATGGAATAAATTTCTCAGAATTACAGTGTGTTCCAATCAAATAAGATGAGTAGTTCAATCAAGGTTCTTTAGGAAATAAGCAACTATTAATATGATGATCTGGATGGGTGAAAAGGGCAACAAAGAGATGATCATTTTTTTTTTGATCATATGTTAATTCAGTGACAAAAACTTTTTTGAGGGTTACCATGTGTCAAGCACTGCATACAGTATCTCATTTCATCTTTACAAGGAACCCTATGGAAGTAGGAATCCTATTATCCCCATTTTACAGATGAGAAAATTAAACTTTTTTGAGGGTTACTGTGTGCTAAGCACAGCATATAGTATCTCATTTCATCTTTACAAGGAATCCTATGGAAGCAAGAATCCTATTATCCCCATTTTACAGATGAGGAAATTAAAGCCCAGAAAAGTTAAGAAACTTGCACAAGGTCACATGAATACTAACCAGAAAAAGTGAGATTTACCCCATTCTGTCAAATGACACACTGCCCCTTAACAAACACCCATTTACACCACATGCCAAGCTCTCTGCTGTGCTGAGGACACAGCAATGGGCAAAAGAGAAACTCTTTCTGACCTCAGGAAATCCAAAAAAAAGCAGAAATCTTTGAGCCTCCACTTCAAACCCTCAATTAAACAAGAAAAAAAACCCAAAACCCTGAATTCAGAGAAGGTAAGTAATTTGCCTGAGGCGACACTGATGGGTACTGCAAAGGGACAGGAGCCCAGTTTCCTGGCCTTCCGTCACTGCTCTGTCCATTCTGTAGCCCCACCCTTGGGGCAGTTGTGCTCTGTGTGAGCTCCAGCAAACAGCACTACTAACCAGTCCCTAATCATCACCTGCCTCTAAAGGTCAAGTCTATTCGATTGCAGCATCTCCTACAGACAATGATGCAAGAGAAAGAAAGAGTCTGCCTCAATTTCCAGAGTCAAATTTAGTTCACAGTACTGGCTAAAGATAAACAGCTACAGACTACTTTATTACAGCCTTGGTACTCCTACCTGTCATCAGAGAGAAGTGCTTTATAAACCGTGATGAGAACCCAGTACATACAAGACTGTACAGGATCCAAACAGCCTTCTGTTCAAGAAGAGGGAAGGAGCAACACAGAACACAAAGGACACACATGTCTATGGCAGATCTAGATTAAAATCCAGGCTCTGTTACCAGATCTTGGGCATGTCACTTTGCTTTTTCAAGCTTCAGCTTCTTCATGTGTAGATGAGCATATTACACTAAACTTTAGTTAAGATGATCAAATGAGGTAATATAACACATAAAAAGTATCACATTAGAGTGCCTGACATATAACAGATGGTTGGCAAGATACAAAATTTATACATAAATTCAACTTTATAAAAATTTAAAGCTTTGGGGGATTCCCTGGTGGTTCAGTGGTTAAGATTCAGTGCTTTCATGGAGTGGCCTGGGTTCAGTCCTTGGTTGGGGAATTAAGATCCTGCAAGTCACACAGAGCAGTCAGAAAAACAAAAGTTTTTATCTTTCAGAAGACACTATCAAGAGAGTGAAACAACAGCCCACAAAATGAGAGACAATATATGCAAACCCCATCTCTGATAAGGGTCTAGTGCTCAGAATATAAAGAACTCTCACAACTTAGTAATACAGGCACTCAATTAAAAAAATGGGCAAAGAATCTGAACAGACATTTCTCCAATATGCAAGGGCATCAAGTACTGAAAAATGTTCATCATTAGTCATCAGAAAAACGCAAATCACCACAATGAGATACCACTTCATACTCACTACGAAGGCTGTAATTAAAAAGCTGTAATAACAAGTACTGATGAAGATGAGGTGAAATTTGAACCCTCACGCTACTGGTGAGAATGCAGAATAGTACAACTTTGGAAAACTGTCTAGCAGTTCCTGCAAAGGCTAGATAGATACAGTCATCAGATGACCTGGCAGTTCTACTCCTACAGAAATGCACACACTCGACAGAAATTAAAATATATGTCCACACCAAGACTTGATCAAGAATGCTCTTAGATTATTAATAATAGTAAAAAAGTGGAAAATGACCAAATGCCCATCAAACTATGAGTAAATAAACAAAATGTGGTAATTCCATCAGAATAAAGGGATGCTACTCAACAACACAATAGAACATAATATTGACATGCTGTTACAAAGACGAACTTGGAAAACACCAAGCGAAAGAAATCAAAGGCCACTTATTAAATGATTCCATTTACAGGAAACGTTCAGAATAAGGAAATCAAGAGAGAAAGAATGTAGATTAGTGGTTGGGGGGAGATATGGTGACTATGTAAGGGGTTATTTAATGGATAGTTTTCATCTGGAGTGATGAAAATGTTTTAAAATTAGATAGTGGTGATAGCTGTACAAATCTGAGAATATATTAAAAACCACTGAACTGTATACTTTAAAGGGTGAACTGTATCGTACAGCCACATAAAGCTGTTATAAAAGATGCTGTAGTCATTCTAAATTCTGATTTATGCTAATTAATCCAACCCTGATATTGAAACCAGAGTTTTTTTTTTCTAGCCCAGGTAAGATTAAGACTTAGATTTCAGGTATCCCTGCACCTAGGAAATTCTAACATCTAATTTCAGTTTCTCTCTTTGAAATTTAATTCTACTCAGTCCTGAGCCTTCAGTGAAGAAAAAAAATAAACAAATCTCAACATCACTCAAGAGTCTTCTCCAACACCACAGTTGTAGGATCTTAGATCCCCAAAAGGGATCAAACTCATGGAATCTTAGCCACTGAACTGACAGGGAAGCCCAATGTCCTCATTTTTAGAATAGAGATTAAGACTTAGCTCAGTAAACTGTCTGAGGAATAAATCAGATAAGGTAGGTACTGAGAAGAATTCCTAGCTCAGAGTAATAGCTCAATAAATGGAAGCAGTTTTTATTATTACTTAAAAGTGACACCTATGATTTTTACTGGGATAGTAAAGCACTAACAACGGCACTTAAACTTCAATTCAGAGGACAACTATTATTTTTCCAGCAAAGTTCACTTTTTCATAGTATAAAAACAGTGTAATAAATAGCTTGTAGAGAAAATCTGGAAGCCACACACACACGAAAAAGAGAAACAAACCTATCATAAAGAGAAACAAATCTATCATAATCCTCCAATTCCCCAGAACAGCTTCTGTTAAATTACTGAACAACTTAAAAAGCCTTCATGGGCTGCTGCTGGGCCTGGAGGGAGAGTCATTTAGACTGTTTCCCTTTCTCTATTTCATTTGCCTATCTGAATTTCTGTAACACAGACAGGAAAAGAGAGAAGGAAAAAAGTAAAAGAGCCAGTCAATTTTACCTTTCTCTGGCGGGGGTGGGGGCAAGGTTTTATATTGGTTAAGTTTTGTACTACTAGAAAAATAGAAGATTTGAGAAGAAAAATGAGACTTGAGGCTTATTTGTGGTACTTCTCATTCTCCTATTGACACATTATGTCTTTATAATTTGAGAACTGCAGATAAGCAACTGGTCTTCTCAATACTTGCTCACTAGGAAAGTCCTCATTTTTAAGAAACATCTATTACAAGGAAAGGAAACAAACACAAGATACACTACACGGCCCAAGGTAGAGAAAAAATTATCCAACTAACAGCCTTTTCCCCTAGGTTACGCTTCTATTGTGGGAGTCTAGCGTTCCCTAGGCAGAGAAAAAAACTTGCCAGTTTAAGCAAAATAACAGAAATGTCCAGCCAATGAAATATCCAGAATTCATCACTTGCACCGAGCAATGAATGGCCTGTACCAATAGAAAAAACAAATAGCAAAGGCAACTGTCTAGAACAGAAAACAAACAGGAAATACTTTAAAAGTCCAAAATTGCAAATGCAGATTAACAGTCTATGAAATCACATGCTAGGCAATGCACCTGTGAAAGGAAAAGAGGAAGAGACTAAGTTTGAAGCCTGAAGAATTCGGTGTTTAAGGTTGCTTCCTGCTCTGGCATGCAGTCCAGCAGAACACTCAGCTCCTGGCTCAATCCACAGTGTACACTTCATGGAAGATGGCGAACTACTTGGCCTGACTTGGTTTCTTATTCTGTAAAATGGATGCAGCACAGCTGTGTCTGGAGTCCCAAAATGCCGCTTCATAGATGCTTTGTAAAGTGCTTTCTCTAAGTGCTGTAAAACCAGAGCACCCCTTTCCTCTCTTCAGTTAGTCTGAGAATTTAGTTTAGCTGAAAAAAGAAAGCTTTGCAGTGAAGGACAGGGAAGCCGGGCCTGCTGAAGTCCATGGGATCGCAAAGAGCGGACACGACTGAGCGACTGAACAACAGACAGCTCTGAACCAAGGGATTCAAAGTGGCACAGGCAGGTGGACAGAAATGCAGAAACTGGGACATCTCATACAAACCACAAGAGGACACGTCCACATAAACACGTTATCAGTGACAGAAAACGCTGCTGGCATCAACAGTAAAGCGCCCAGAGAGGCAAACCCACCCAGCAGCGCACACTCGTCACGGTATGTGCCTTAGCCCTTCTGCACTCTACTGCCTAAGGAGATCCACTTTTTAAAAAAAGTTTAGCAGCTTGCCAAACACACCGGCATCGTTTACCTTTTTAATAGCTAAACAAACATGGAGGACAGTTGAGATAATAGAGGACATGTTTAGCTCTTAAAAAAAAAAATGATCCGGGAATTTCACGTTTTGCTTTATCAACTTCGTGTCTAAAGCAGATCACAAACCGCTTTTGAAGTTCTCTCGTTTTTAGCCAATGAGCCCGGAAAAAGAGAACGGATTCTTTCAAACGGCGAGGGCTGTCTGTACTCTTGGGCTAAGCCAGCGAGGCTCGGCCACCGTCAAGTTTATAGTGAGAACGCCTAGATCAAGTTCACCCAGCTGCACCGGCCCCAGGGGCCTCGACGCTCAGAGCGGGCCCTCAGCCGCGGGTGGAGCCCCCCAACCCTGAAACCCTCTGCCCAGGATGTGGGACAGGACACCCCCTCGCTACCAAAACCCTCTCCCAAGAACACGGGATAGGACTCCCGCCCCGGGACCCGTTTCCCGGGACGTGGGACAGGACACCCCCCAGGATCCCCAGGACCCCACCCTAGAGCCCCCTCCCCGCGACGCGGGACAGGACACCCTTCCCAAGACCCCTCTCAAGGACGTGGGATAGGACTCCCGTCCCGTGACCCCCTCCCCAGGATTTAGGACAGGACATCCCACTCCACCAGAACCCTCTCCCAAGAACGCGGGATAGGACTCCCGCCTCGGGACCCCTCCCCAGAATGCGGGACAAGACACCTCCCCAAGACCCCTCTCTCCAGGGCTCCCTCCCCGTGATGCGGGACAAGACACCGCTCCCAAGACCCCCTCCCAAGGACGAGGGTTAGGACTCTCGTCCCAGGACCTCCTCCCCAGGATGTAGGACAGGACACCCCACTCCATCGGAACCCTCTCCCAAGAACGCGGGATAGGACTCCCGCCCCGGGACCCGTCCCCAGAAAGGCGGACAAGACACCTCCCCAGGACCCCCCATCCAGGGCCCCCTCCCCGCGATGCGGGACAGGACACCGTTCCCAAGACCCTATCCCAAGGACGCGGGTTAGGACTCCCGCCCTGGGACCCCCTCCCCGCGACGATGGACAGGACTCGCCCCCCAGATCTCCCCTACCAAGGACGCGGGCCAGGACCCCTCCCCGGGACCTTCTCCCCAGGACGCGGGCCAGGACTCCCTCGAGGGCCCCTGCCCCAGGACGAGGCCTCGCCGGCGTCGCGCAGGGAGGGCGGGCAGCGCGGGCCGCGAGCCCCGTCAGGCCGCCGGGCTCCCGCGTCCGGTCCCCGCCCGCCGCCCGACCTCGCTCCGGCCCGCGCCGCCCGACGCGCTCACCGCGTTCTTCTTCTGCACCATCTTGTCCATCTTCTTGGCAATACGGATCACCTCGTCCTCCATGGCTCCGGCGGGCCTGCCCCGCGCCCGGCCGTGTGGGACGGGAAGTGCTTGAAGCTGGCCGGCGGCGGGCGAGCCCAGGCGTCTGCGAGGCGCCTCAGCAGGCCGGGCCCAGGCGCTTCCTCACCCAGCGAGCCCGCGGCGGCGGCGGCGGCGGCGGCGGCGGCGATGCTCCTCCCCCGCAGGCAGAGCCAATCGAGCGGCGCGCGCGCCGAGCAGGCGTCACCAATCGACAGCGACCAGCTGGGCTACAGGCCCGCCGGGCTGCACAGCTTCGCCGGCTGTCGTGAAAGTGGGCGGGCTGTGCGGCAGAGCTTCGCGCGCGCGCCCTACGGCCCCGCCCCCAGCCCTCCCCACTGCGGTCCCCTGGTGCCCGGGTGCCCCAGGTCTGCTGGTCTCCCGTCCACGAGCCGTGGCGCCCGCAGAGACCCCCGCCCGGGGTCCACCAGCCCCGGCGGCTTTGGAGGATGGAACGTGGTGAGAACCCCAGCTTTTCCCCCGCCGTCGACCGCTGCCTCGAAATTGGATTTTCTATTCCCCTCAATAGATCGTTGTATCGTAAGGATGTGGCCGTTGTAAGAGTTTCCTCTTTAAAGCCGTTTGTAAACGCCGTGAGGACGGGGACCCAATCTTGTTTTGTTTCCTGACTTAGAATGTTGGACGCTGTACCTTGAATATAGTAGAATAATTGTTGTTGACAGTAATGTTCTCATCAAGGAAATTGATGAAGGCATTTCACCTGCTCTGAAGATAAATGAGGAAGTTGAAATGTAAAAAGCTATGACTAACAACCCAAAACCGAGGTAGAAAATCGAAATAATCAATACTGGAGAGTGTAGGCTCCTTCCGTAGGTCTTTGCCCAGTTAATACCCTGGACTACCATCTCGTGCAGTTTGCAGACATACCCAACACCCAATTTAACTATCACTAATCAAAACTCACCACCTAATAATGTTTCCTCTATACTAGGATGTCAGGTATTGTTCTAGCTCAGTTATTTGAGCGAAAGAGTAATTGGAACCATGCCCCTTTCTCTTTATTTCGTTTTAGTTTTAAAATTATCTTTTCATCATTGATTCCTACTTAGGTATACACCTAGGTATTTTTTTCTTCTTTTTGGGCAATTGTAAATGGTATTGTATTTTTAATTTTGGTTTTCACGTGTTCCTTGCTAGTTCCTTGACCTATAGGTCATTTTTAACCATGTTTCAGCTCCCAAGTTAGTTAGATTCATGCAGCCATTGCTTGTTGAGTTACCCAAATGTTTATCACTCTGCCCATTCTTTGCATCTCTCCTTTCCTCTAGTTCATTTTTTTTCCCTGAAAGAACATGGTTCTTTCACTGTTCTTTTTTCTCATAAACTTTCTATATAAAAGTGGTTTTCTTTTGCCCTCACTGTAAAATGAGTTCACCTCTAAGTTTATCGGTTATCCTTTCTCTTCCACTTTTACGTTATTCCATTATCTTCTGACCTCTGGTGGTGGTCTTGTTAAGTGTGATGTGCGACTCTTCAAGTAGGCTCCCTCTGGTTGCTAAGATCTCTTTCTAAAAAAAAAAATCTTTTTCTATGGTATTCAGTTTTGCTTCTCACCATGAAATGTCTCTTTAGAGACTTTGGATTTTGTTTTTTACTAAATTAATTAATTTATTTTTTTGGCTCCGCTGGGTCTTGGTTGTGGCACACAGGCAGGCTGCGCCCAGGGATGGAACCCACATCCCCTGCATTGAAAGGCAGATTCTTAACCACTGGATCACAAAGGAAGCCCCTAGAAGCTTAGTTTTATTTCTTCTGTTGGTAACTCGTGTTGCTTCCTGACTCCGAGATTTCTTACCTTTCCTGAAGTCTGGAAAAATGTCAAGTCCTTTTATATTCAAGTATTGCTTCTCTGCCGTTCTGTGTTCTGCAGCTTCCTGTGTAACTTTAGGTTGGACCTCTTCATTTTACTTTTCCAGTCTCTCACCCTTCCTTTTGCTCCCTCGAATTTCTTCTGAGTTTCTTTCATACATAGTTTCATGCATACAAGTCTTCTGTGTTTAATACACAGTTTAACTCATCTATCTGAGTATTTTTTGTAGGTCATATATTACAATTCAAACTCAAGAACAAGGAGTGTGGGGTTTCAGTTTGGGAAGCTGATTAAAGTTCTGGAGGCATACGGTGGTGACGGTTGCACACGCTACTGAACTGTATACTTTGAAAAGTGGTTAAAATGGTAAATTTTGCTATGTTTAACCACAATAAAAAAAATCTGAAGAATAAAAAAAAGTATATCCAATTCTGGCCTGCTCTCCTCCCATCCTTACCGGCTTCACCCCTGCCCCAGTCATGCTGTGTAACCTGTTTTATTAGATTCTTCACATCCTTCTCACATATGGGTTTCTTTTTTTAATGCAAATCCTAGCCAGGTGAAATATATGGGTGTTATTTTCTCCACCCCTTTGTGTTTCACATTTCTTCATCAATAATGTATTCTGAATCCTTTCCAAATTAGTTCCTTTTTTTTTTTTAACAGCTGTTTAACAATCCATTGTACAGGTGAAGAGTAATTTATTTAGCTGGGCCACTTTTATTCCACATGGGGTCGTTTCAAGTATTTTACCCCATCAGAAATACCATCATAAATAATCCTTCTCCGTGAAGATTTCTCACCTGAGTGTTTATTTCTACAAGTTTTCTTTTTCAAACTTGCATTTTCTGATACTGTGTCCTTTCACCTGTCTGTTCTTTTCTCTGGTTGTTCGAACTCTCTCACCAATCAATCTCTTCTCATTCCTGAGAATCCAGTGATCCCTCTGCCTTCTGTGTCACCTGGTACTCACCTGTGCAGGTAGTTCTCTCATCAGGTTTGTCCTTTAGGGCTGTTGAGCTTTACTTTTGGCAGGGCTAACTAACCAACCTGGGCTGAGAATACATCACTGTGTATGGGAGAATCTGTTTGCCTCTTCCAGGTACCAGAGGGGCAGACCCAGTCCCAGGAAAAAAAAAATTATTTTTTGGCTGCACCCTGAGACTTGTGGGATCTTAGTTCCCTGACCAGGATTTGAATGAACCCTGGCCACTGGCAGTGAAAGCGCAGAGTCCTAGCCACTGAACCACCATGGACCTTTCCAGGGAAATTCTTGTTCATTAGAAGCTTACGTGTTTCCAGGCCACATTAATAGTACAAATTCAGAATCCAGGTATCTGTGAAGAGAGCTTCTGGTTTCAAGGGAAGGGCTCCCCCTTTTTTTGCTGCCTGAGTCCAAGCAGACAGACAAATTTCTCCTATCCCTTCCCAGGAGTCAGATTTTTCTCCGGTTCACCCTGTGACAGAGTGGAGCCCCTGAAAATATGCCTGTTTCTTCATTCTGAGCCCCCAAATTAGGTGTGGCCTGTGTGGGGTTTAGGTTCCTTTTTGGTTCTTTCTGAGCATTGGAGGATGCAATTTAGTTAGGGCAAGCTGAATTTTACCCGAATCTATTCAGCATTACTAGGTGTTTTGAATATGAAACAAGTTTTTTTTTTTTTTTTAATGTTTAGAAGCATTTAAATTACCTCCCAGGGGCACAGAGCATGAGTCCCCTGGCAGGGGACTATAGGGTAAGGAAAACACGTCATTTTGAACCCTGGCTTCTACACACATCAGCTCTGGGACCACGGGCAAACACTTCATCTCTCCAAATGTATTTCCTCTTCCAGAAAATGAAGATAAGGTTGATGTGAGGACTATATGAGTAAAGGATATAACATGCCTAGTACAGTGCCTGCCTGGAATGGATTAAGTACTTAAGTTTTAGTAAAACACTGTTGTTATCTGTAGATAGACTTAAAACAAAACCATGCTTGGACCACATCTGTTCTTGAGCCAAGAGTTTCAAAAGGATGGTGAAATCAAAGGTTATCACATGAAGTAAGCCGCTGCCATGGAGGGTAAATCTAAGAGCTAAAGCTGGAGACAAGATTTCAGCACAGAACTCTCATAAGTAGGAAGGCCACCCTCAAATGGAACAAGCAGCCTCACAAAAAGGTGAGCTGGTCACTTGATTCAAAATCAAAAGCCCAAGGACTGTTTAAAAGGCAGACAGGATTCCTTTACAGGGAAAAGAAAGAAATAAGCAGTGAAGTAAAAGGAGAAAAGAACCACTTGGATAACTGATTTATGACACTAATTTAAAAATCCCGTGAAACTATTCGAAAGAAGACAGAAGGATACACCACAGAAAACTTCAATAGGCCAGGAACCCTTAAGATCAAACTGGAGATGTTTTTAGCTCATTAACACTGGCTCCCACTTGGCTCCACTCCACCATCAATCTGCTCTCTCTACCTGTATTCCTGTGACTGGACCATCGCCTTCCTCCTTTTCCGTACAGCCATTCCAAGGCAAACTCAAAAGTCAAAGATATTCCAAAGAGCCAGTCACAGCAAAGTCAGAATTCAATTTTATTTCACATTGATAGAAACCGTGAAAAAGATTTACATTTTCCCATATTACAGCACAGCATTTCAACGGAATATGTCTTGCCATAGTTAGATCTTGCTGATTTGTGTCAGTGAAACAACAGTTTATATTCTTCAAGGTAAAGCAAGATGACTTAGTAAATGATTGTTTAAAAACTGTGAATCCAGACATAAACATATGGCTTCATTATTCACATGCTCTATATAGTCCATACCAAGTCATTTCCATCATCAAATAGCACCCATTTATGAAGATGCCATCCTAACACTGTCCTAGTCAGCTTGAATACAGCAGAAAAATGAACACCAGTTCAGAAATATCAAGTGTACATTTTTGCCATGTATTAAACTGTGGTAACTACACCATATGTATTGAGTTCTGACTAACTTTTTTACCCATAAATTTATTTTCAAGTAATTTTAACTGATAATTTGAAAAATCTGATTATTTAAAATCAAATAATTGCTATTTTTGCATTTGCACAAAAGCTAACTTAAAAAGATCATTTGACTACAGTGAAAATTTTAAATGAGTCTGTTGGCAGAGAAGAATAAAGCAAAATTTTTGAAAGGATTGTTCATTTCCTACAGCAGTTGGTTTCAAACATATGTGCAGAATAAGTAAATTCTATGCTATGAGGAAAATCACCTTAGAGCAAATCATCTTAGAGATTACAGTTTTTAAGATCAGTTTTAAATATTCCAGAACACACTAGAATATGAACTAACTATTCTTTCAGTTAATTACAGGAAAATACAGCCAAAGAATTATTTTCATTACCTACACTGAAGATTCTAGTAACTCTGCAGGTCCAAAATGTGGACTAAACTCCAGTTTAGGAAGTAGTGTACAAACTCTGAAGGGATGTCAGGTTTCTTTCTATAACTATCAATACATTTTTACTCCATCATGTCTGTGATTCAGAATGTCAAATTACAGCATATATTGACTGCAGGTGTCTATGGCAAGGAGGCAATATTTGGTCTGTTATGAAGGATAAAAACAAGAAAGAACACATTTCTAGAGAGGAAAAAAGAATATTAAATACAATAGAAATTATATTCAGCAAAGAAAAACCTGGTCCCCAAAATAAAAGGGCCATTAATTCAAGAGAGCAATATTACTCTTTATGGACACTTAGAAGCATTATCCCTCTTATAAGGAATAATGTAATAACATCTCATTCTTAATATGTATTATAATCATTAAGTATACACGAACACATATATAAAAATATGGATACTGCATGGTGACTATGTAATTTGGGGATATGTCCATAGTCTTAAGTCATAGCACGTATAAACCCTTTATGTCTTAACTGCTCATTTACACCTGAACAAGTTTTCATTAAGCATACTAGTAATTTTCAAGTGATGTAGTAAAAAAAGAGTCTGGTTGCAGTATTTTATGATTTTGCTGAATTACGTTTGGGAGAAAGAAGCTGGCTGCTTCACCTATTTTAATACTAGTGTATCCTGGATCATATCATACAAATACATATAGAGAAATGTCAAAGATCATACATTTCCCACAAGGAGATTTATTTAGTCTGTGTCATTGGTGTGTATTTGCAAAACATTTTAACACTGCAAACATTAGAGGTTTCAAGGTCGGGCACAGGAAGAAGTGTGTGCTCCACTGGACGATGCTGGTGTGCACTTCTACACAAGGCCTCTTGGCGGCGTCAGTCAATGGGAGGTAGGAGCTTATCAATGAACTGCTTGATGTCCATCATTTCCTGTTTGGAATAAAGAGGTCTGATAAGCAGTTTCACAAATCAGAAATGAAATCCCCACTAAATTCCGCTAACTGAATCCACGGTGTGCACAGATAAGGTGAAACCACAGTTTTACTATAATTACATAAAAAGTGGTGACAGAGAAATGAAGCACCAACAGAAATTTAGGAACACTTCCTACGATGATAGTGATGATTGTATTAATACATCCAATGACTGCTCTCGTGTTATGAAGTCCCAGGAAAAGGTATGCACTTTGCTCCACTGGGGGTGGAGGGGAGGAAAGGGGTTGAGAAGTGACAATAACCACATGCAGAAGACATGGTACACACACACAGCTACTGTCAACTAAGTGTCAGTGCCCAGCTTCTAACACACCCCCACTAAAACGATGATGCTATATCAGCAGCACCACACACTGTGCCTTCATGAGGACTCACACACAACCAGCCACCCGAAGGAGGGAGGGCAGGTGCCCAAGTCAGGCCTGGAGAGCCGTGGAAGCGAGCCCATCCCTGAGAACATGGCTCCATGCCTCCTGCATATGGCTCCGCCTTATTGCTGCCCCAGAACAGGCTCCCTGCTGTTACCCCTGGTGTCTGACCTCACAGATTCACACCCCAGCACACAGAGACCCTTCATCTGTATCACCTCCAGCCTATTGCACATCCTCTGTGGTCCCAAAGGTCCCTGCGACACCACCTCCTCCAGCCCCACCGCCTCTCACTTTCTGCCCCAAGCTGTCCATCCACTACCCTCCCATTGGGTACATAGGTCCCCTCCACACAAACACGGGGCCCAGGTGCACCCCCAAGCCCTCGGTGTGCTGACCCAGAGGCACTGAGTTTGGGGTCCTGGCTCAGGTGTGTGTGCTAAGCTCAGGTCACCTGTGACGGGATGCCTGCCATGAGGACCACCGGTTTGGACCTGCAGCCCCTCCCTCCTGGGATCTGGCTGCCAGCCTTTCCGAATTTGATACGTCATCAGGGTTTCAACTGCCTTCTCAGTCACACCTAGAGTCCTAGGTCCCCCGACCTCTGGATAAACCTTACTACTTGCCTTCTCTGCCCTTAAAGCAAATGATTTAGCCAGGCCGACAGGTGCAAAAAATGTTAACTTGACTGCCTTGGTGCTGAGCGGTCAGTTTTTAGTCTCGGCCTTTTAGAGCCTCTGAACCTATCCTGACATCCTTCATTCTTTTTTTTTTTTATGAAACATAAAATTTTTATTTTTTTATTTATTTATTTTTTATATGGCTTTGATTTTTTTTTTAATTAGTTGGAGGCTAATTACTTTACAATATTGTAGTGGGTTTTGTCATACATTGACATGAATCAGCCATGGATTTACATGTGTTCCTCATCCCGATCCCCCCTCCCACCTCCCTCTCCACCCGATCCCTCTGGTTCTTCCCAGTGCACCAGGTCCGAGCACTTGTCTCATGCATCCAACCTGGGCTGGTGATCTGTTTCACCCTAGATAATATACATGTTTCGATGCTGTTCTCTTGAAACATCCCACCCTTGCCTTCTCCCACATCCTTCATTCTTAAAAAGCAATCACCCTTCTCAGCTTTTCAGAGAAGTTTTTAAAAATTTCTAATGTAACATACATCACAGTCCGCTCACTATATAGTCATTTGGATATATTCCCTTCTCCCCTATTAAAAATTCTCATTTGAGTTAATCTACTTTAGATTTTAATAAAGGAATGTTTTTTGTCCTTGAATTACAATGTTTGCAGGTGGGAAGTTGATGAATGTCTGTTGAATTAAACGAAATAAAGTGATATAAGTCCTACTAACCTATGGTTCAATGTGAATTCATTCATTAACTTCTTTAAATCCCCAGAGTCAGACGTTATTTATCCTAAAAATATCACATGCACAAAGTTGCAGAGGTATGCCTGTCATCACTGCTTCCTATCGTTTACCTGTTGACATGAACTGTGCATCATGCCTGCGTAGGTTCTGAAGGTCACATTGGCTGGATTCACCAATGTCTTCAGCTTCTCAGCAGTGAGAGAACCGAACATCAGGGGGACTAGAGGATCCAGGTCCCCATGGCACTGAAGAATAGAAATGTCTCTGTTCACGCCACCGATAGGGCCCTGCAGACAACACGACAAAACCACGTTATTCACTCAAAGGGGTGGCGCGCTGTGCCAGGGGTGAACAGCCAGAGACAGGCATGTATCATACAACACGTTCCTACATCACAGGTGACATCTGGCCACAGAAATGAAACTCCCTCCATCCCTGTGTCCTCCACCTCTTCATTTAAAGGACACAGGATCACCCTGCTTGTATTAAATGTTTTCCTAATGAATCAGTTCCTCAAAGCACATTGTATCCAAATCATACATCCAGTGTCTGGACTCAGTATGTTTTAGCTCAATCATGTTCTTCTCAGCTTTTACTTGATTTAAATAAGATGGTTAATAAACAACACTTACTATGTGCAAAACACGAAAGAGTTACTATATAGTGACAAGGAGAAAAAAAAACACTAGATTTAAAGATGGAATTTGAAAATGTCCTTATCCCTTGGGTGTACTATGTGTTGCTTTACGTGGCTGAGTATTTAAAAATTACATTCTGTGGCAAAATTGTGCTATCAAGCAGTGAGCATACTGAGCATTCCAACAACATTATTTCTTTATTTTTCAAAAACATTATTTCTATGTATTAAAAATAGCCCTAATTTTTAATACAAATCTTACAGTGTACCAAAGACATCAAATATAGAATTCATGACAGCAGGGACTTCTTTCTTTCTTGTTTTAAGGACTCACTCATTTCTTCCAATTCCTGCAACCCACAGTAAAGGCAGTGTAGTGTGCAAATAAAGTCTAAATAAATACATCACAAAGTAAACAGATACTTTCCGTACTTTCAGCTCAATTTGTTGTGAACCTAAAACCGCCCTAAAAATTTAAGTTTATTGCTACTAATAATAAGTTAATATGAGGCTGTTCTCAAAAGTATCTGCCATCTCAGAGCTCAGCGATGCCCCGCTGCACGCATGCGTCAGGCACCTGTGGAAACGAAGCCCGCAGTGGCAGCCAGCAGCTGAGAGCGGTGACCCCGGCCAGCTTCTGCTGTGTGGTCAGAGCCGTGTACAGAGATAAAGCTCCTCCCTGGAGAGACAACAGGCAGAATCAGTGGGACGGATCTGCTGCCAAGAGCAGGGGAAGTGATTCTTGTTATCAATACAGTCTGTTAGAAAAAAAGTCACACTGGATGGCTGACACCTAATGAAATTAGGCAAACTGGTAGAAACACACACACACCCCAGCAGCAAGTCCTCCAGTACTTGACTCTCCACCCTGAAGACAGTCATGAGACCCCAGTGATGCCCCAACCAGCCAAGACGCAGTTTGAAGAGCAGAGTTCACGGCTGCCCTGACAATGCCTGAGCGGTAGTCCAAATTTATACTCACTACCCTCTCTGCAAAGTCTTGCGTAGAAAATCAAATCTGGTCTTAAACTGGTATTACTTTCCAAAACAAGAAAACAGGATGATAAGGGCTCTCTGGGGAGGACACCTCGGGAGCACTGGCCGGCAGCTCACAACGCCCCCCACCCCCCGCCCAGGCCTGGAGCTTGCGTTCACTCTGGCCCACAGCTTCCAGGGCCACACGAAGACGTGAGAGCCTTTCTCCTCTGAGAAATTCACGCTCTGTGTGGCTGGAACCGTAACATACACGCTCAAGAATGGGAAAAGCGAGAGGAAGCACAGGCCAGCCGCAGATGGCAAGGCAAGTGAGGCTGATGGCAGAGAGGCAGATGTGGGGTGGGGGGGCTACCCGAGTCCGAGCTGCCTCCGGACACCTGGCTTCATTCTCATCACTGGCTTCTGGGATGTGACCCCAGACTCGTAACTTACTCTTTCTTGCCTAAGGTGTTAGGATTTAGTTTCTGTCTGCTCTAACCAACGGATCTCATCGACAGAATTCTGAACCAAGCATTCATTCCTATAACTACATTTATGTCACAGGGTGTGCAATACAATGTACATTACCCGTGACTTCCAACAAATAACCACATCAACAGCACGTCTTTTTACTGTATCATATCAACAACCTGCGTCTCCACTGAATTCTAACTTCTAAATGATTCCAGAGTTCCTACACTGCCCTAATTCAGGTCGTCTGGACACTAAATTATTGCCTTGAAGGATTTATAGATTGGCAGTGAGGGAATGGGGTGTGACACGGCAAACAGGTGATGAGCTGAAATTAAGATGTAAATGTGAGTATGTCATAACTGTAGAAGAAGTACCTCAGGTGGGAGAAAAAGTACAGGAAGAGAAGAAAGATGCCAAAAGTAAACATCATACCCTTTTATCTAAAACCTGTTCTGCATGACAAGAAAGAAGAGGACAGAATGACATCACCAAGACTGACACTGCTCCCCTCACCAGAACCATCTACTCCAGAATGGGAACCTCAGAGGGATCCTCGAACACAGGGTGCAGCTGAAGCACCCCCGCCCTTGGGAAAAGCACAGACGCAGCAGTGGTCAGCAAGCAGCCGGCGCAGCCCCCCGACTGGGGTCCCCTTGTTGGGGCCCCTACTCTGATCCCGCCTGACTGGGATTCCAGGGGGTCTGTGGGGCTCGACCACTGAGAATTTGTATGAAAAAAAAGGAAGGAATTTTCTCTTCTTTGACCTTATTTCCCATCGGTCATCTCCTCCTGGGACAGGGACTCATACCTGTGTTTCAGCAGTTTTATCTAGAGGGGCACACACTGTTAACTGAGATACAGCTACATGTGCGCTGTGGTTACCCGAGAAAAATATATTCCAGGCTCCAACTGATTTCCGTAATAAACTGACTTTCAAGTCGTAATCTATGGAGTGAAGCCTATCACTGAGAGAGAAAACTAGAAAAGAAGAAGAGCAAGGCATATGCTCTAATCATTCTTCCCAGTCCATCCAAACTTAATTCAGCATTAAAGGTAAGGAGTACATCATATTCTGTAACATCTCTAAAAACAGGACTCCCATAAAAAAAGGATCAAGGCTTCTAGACAAATACACTGATGACCCACCACCCAAACTTTTATCTTACCTGAGAAAATCCTCCCAAAATAATTCTGTTAGAAGGAATGCCATTCTTCACCTCTTGATCTATCAAAGCTTTTACTAAAAATAACATAAAAAATAAAATCACAAAAAGTTAAATCACCAATACTTTCAAAGATAAGTCCACTGATGTGCTTTTCCATTATTAATTTTTTCCCATTTAAATTGTATCAGTGTATTAAAGGTCAAAACAAGTGAAAAACCTGAAGCACTCTCTTAAAACACAAAATTAGAATGTATTTTCAAGAACTCAATTTTGTAAGCACTGCTTAAACTGTTCAATTATTTCTTACATGATTTGTAAAGAAGTTTTTTCTCATCAATGTAGAGGGATATGAATATTCCTTTATCTACGGTCTATTTTGCTCATATACATTCTATAGTTTTTTCTCTCCAATGAACCCCATGCATTTGTACCTAAAAGCTGTTATTTTAAAATCATAGATAGTTAAGTACTTTATGTGGGTCGTGATTTATAGTGCTTGAATAATTTACCTTATTATTTAAAAACCCCAAACACAGTATTAATTTTCCCTATAGCCAGTAAATAATGTGGGGGGGTAAAAAAACAGATAAATTCTTTTGTTTCCGCAAAATATTTCAACACATATCACTAACTATATTACTAGGTAACTCCCTATAATTCCATTTTTCTTTATAATACTATGAGAATAACTGCACCTTTTTACAAATTTACCTCCTTTCACTTTTGATATATATGTAAGAGTTTCACCTTTTTAAGATGAAAATTTCCAAATTTAACTGGCCACAAGTATGAGATATTCTGTGACTTTCTCCGTTTGCCTGCATCAATGAAAGCAAATGATGCATCTGACAGCACTCAAGTTTGATAAAATGCCATCCCTCCCCATTCACTTCATCTTCATGGACCATAATTAACACTCAAACAAGGTAAGAGTGATCAGAAAAGAATGGCATAGTGCCACCACCTGAGTTTAGACAGTTGCACAGTTTTCATCAAGAATACAACAACCAAATCTACTATAAAACTTTCCCTACTTACCATTTTCTGCTGCCTGTTTAATTCCAGTTTCATCCTCCAGTGAATCTGGAGAAAGCCCAATAATGTCAAACCTGGAAAACAAAGCAAAGTCCTAAAAGAACTGTTTGATTCTAAGAATATCTACCTTTGATAAGAAGAGAGTAACTTCAGAGAAAAAAGGCTAACCAGAAATATTCTCTAGAACATTAAATTCAAACTAAACTGTTTCTGGGCTTCCCAGATAGCTCAGATGGTAAAGAATCCACTTGCCAAAATGCAGGAGACACAGGAGACGTGGGTTTGATCCCTGGATTGGGAGGATCCCCTCAAGAAAGACATGGCACCCCACTCCAGCATTCTTGCCTGGAGATTTCCAAGGACAGGGGAGCCTGGTGGGCTACAGTCCATGGAGTCGCAAAGAGTCAGATACAACTTAGCAACTAAATTACAACAACTGTCTCTGCAGGCCAAACAGTCAACTTAAATGTGTAAATCTGACATCCTGCGAGTTCCTTTTGCACTAAGTAGATGCAGATTCCATTAGAAAGTCACTGTCACATTATTTAAAGTTAGAAACACCTGCAGAATGACCTAGTCCAACCTGACACCTGGGGGAGGAATCTTCAGCCCTTGAGACACCCGAATAGATACCATCTCCTCACTTCCCTCCTTGTCATCCTAAGTCCACTGGCTAGAAAGCCCTGCACCAGCGCAGCACCTCGCGTGCAAGGCCTGCAACCTGCTGCACAAGGCCCTTGGGCCACCTCCATCATAGTCTGGAGAGCCTGTCACCACTCGACCCTGAATCTGGGTCTGCCCCGCTATCCACTACATGCTCAGACGTGCTCAGACTACGGTCAGGAGCAACGTGAGGTGGAAGTCTTGGTGCCAGACAGGGATTCTGTCAGAGAGGGAAGACAGAAGAACCAGAGGCCACCGTGGCCAGGAACCAGCGAGAGTCGCCAAGGAATCTCCCACAGACACGGATGAACGTTCATGTGGATTAGAGGGGGTTGGACAAGCAGAGGATAAGGTGGCAACAAGCTGGAGTCCCCATGACGTCTTGACGGAGTGTGGAGACAGGGGCGCAAAGAAGCAGGAAAAAGTATGCCTGCTGCTCAGGTCTGGGCTAAGTGCCTTCAGAGATGGGGCTGCTCCAGGTGGCAGGGCCCAGGGGAGGTGTGGGTGCCTGGGGCTGAGAGAGGAGAAGATCAGCGGGAAGAGAGGAGTCCTGGAAGCAACAGCCACTCAAGGCTGTGAACGGGCCACGGACATCGGATCCCCGACTCACTGGAAAGGTAAGACGTCGGCAGGAGCTGGAGGAAAAAGGAAAACAGGACCCGGGGGTCGGAGTCGTCATTTCTGAGCAGACCCGAGGGACCCAAGGGCAGGGCTCTCAGAGCAGCAGGAAGAACGCGTGGCCTGGACGCGGCTCAGAGAACAAAGGAGCGACTGTGGAGCACACGGTGAACGCCTAGCACCCTGAAGACCCCCAGAGGGCTCATCAGGAAGTGGTCTCCCTGCACACCCGCCAGCCTGCCAGGAAGCCAAGGCGGGAGGTGGAGGCTCCGTCTGGTCACGGCAGTCAGCAAAGGTGTGTCGAGAGGTGAGAGAGACTCTGCGGCATTTCTACCCACCCATTCCCTCCTCTTTCTCTACCTGCTGCCGCAGCTCCTTAAGTATACCCCTGAATCTAAAACATGAGAACCAAGACAGTGAAATAAAGGTTACATTTCACTTTAGAACTTTGCAACTTAAAGACAGTTCATTAAAAATTGCTGTATGCAAATGGCAACCCACTCCAGTACTCTTGCCTGGAGAATCCCACGGACGGAGGAGCCTGGTGGGCTACAGCCCACGAGGTCGCAGAGTCGGATATGACTGAGCGACTTCACTTTCACTTTCACTTTCTACCCTCAGCTGAGAAGACTTTCAGCTCTTGTGTTTGCTATTGATTGTTTTCTTGAGTTCTCAAAGACCTGTGACCATATTTTTTTTAAGTTGCGGTTTTCTAACTGCATCACTTTACACACTGTTGTCTAATAATATGTGGTATTTAGAATGCCTTCTTAATTATTTTGAGCAGCCATTGCCTGTATTTTCTTAGCACCTCCTTGGTTTTCTTCCGTGAACTCATCTGACAGGGAAATGCAGCTTTTTTGTTTGCCCTCTCTGCATACTGGACCGTCTGAGTCAGTGTTCTAACTAATCCCTGATGGTCTCTGAGATACTGTTCTACCAGACTCAGTAGTTATGTGCTTCAGGAATTTTTCGGTAGAATTGGTCCTATTAGGAGACTCTTGGTGTCACCTTTGTTATCTTAAAAGCTGGTCCCTTCGCTGAGGCTCTTAATTTTTTGAAAATTTGATTCTATTTCAGCTGAAAATTGGCAAGGCTATCTAAAAAATTGAGGGAAGCCATTTAAGAAATTGAAAAGTAACCACAAACAACATTGGGTAGTTGTGACTTTCAGTTCTGTATCAGTTGAATTTTTGTGCTCTTTTCCCTGTGTACATGGTGGTTCTATTTTTCTCCAATAAAACTTTTTATTTAAAAATAAAAAAAAAATTGCTGTATGTAAAAGCACTTCTGATTAAAACAAAACAAAAACTTACAAAAAAAAACCACCCTAAGTATAAGTAAAAAGTTCTTAGTAAATAAGTGAAGTCTTACTTACCATGATGGCATGGCCATGTTCATATTTAATGTTACAGGCATAATTGGCCTACATGGGGAAGAAAAAAGAAAATCAAGAATAATACACCAAAGCACAAAAGCTAGTCAACACCATCTGTTGCAGATAATTACTTGAGGTTCACACAACATTGAGTGTGCAGTTTTAAACAGACGATCTGTTTAGCTGCACGCACACCTGAACAACTCTGTGCTCCACTCTCTCCAAATGGTTGAGACAAGAGCGGCCACTGGGATGGATGAAAGTTGGCAAGCAAATATCTTTCTTTATCAACACCTTACTCGATACTTTCAGACCAGACGTGAGAAAGAAAACAGTGACCAACATGGCTGGAAATGTCTGAGACTGGCTAAGGCGTGAGGGATGCAAGCAATTTACTGCACAGAAAAGGTAATATCGATTCCCGTAGGCTCCAATGACCTGTGTGCTGATTTTCTAGTTCTTACCTGCTTACCAGACCTCTAAATAAATAAGGGAAACATAAGTTTTGCCTGAGTGTCCATTATACCCAACTTAATTCTGTGCTGACAATGTTGGACCACCCGCCTGCAGCCAGGTACCAAAGGAGAGAAGAGTAGATTCACTCTAACAGCATCTCACCACCATCCTCCTTACTGGAGAAACAAGTCCACCTTACATGTCACAAAATCTTAGCAAAATTTCCTTGAGGACATAACCTTGCTTCCCTAGGTTCAAAGATAGGTTTACACCAAATTCAATCTGGGGGCCATTAAGAACAGAGCAGAAATTCCAGCAGCATCAAGAATTCTGTCTCTGGCCCGAGTCATTAATAACCACACGGCAACTCTGGCCACAGTCTGTGGCTGTCGCCGACAATGGTTAAGATAAAGCCTGAACTACAGGAAAAGAAGAGGAGGGAACCTTTTCTTACTTAGTCTCAGATATTCTTCCTCTTTCACATTTATCGACTCTGCTGCTACAACCACTTCCAAGGCTGAACTACTGACTGGTCAGCACGCATATCATCCCACCGGCTTCTCCACGGCTACCACTCTTCAGCACCCTCTGATCTAAGGCCTGCTCATCTGAGGGACTTTCTGAATTTGCTCAAAACTTACTAGTATCTTTTGGACACCTACAAACATTTTCAGGATTCAAAGCCAAATCTAACAGACTCCAAAGTCTGTATTCTCTCTCTGCTGCATCATACTGTCTCTAATTGATGGAATTTGGAAGGGTTTTCAAGGTAGTCACAAATCTGACAGGTAAATCCCCCTCAGAGACAGCTCATGGATATCCTCAGAGCTTAATAGGTATCTGTGTGTCTAAGGAATTTTTCTGGCTGTGAGTTCAATCGATCTCCAAGGGAGCATTATTTTAAATTTCACAATTTAAAAAAAAAATGGAAGAAAAATTCAAGGTAAACAGGTCACATTTATGTTTTAAAGAACTTACTAATCTTTAGTTTGAAGCTGAACATATACAAATGCTTTTCTGGAAAAGTAAAGCTATCATGATGCTTCCTCCCTGGACTCCGAATCGCAAGCCTGAAAACTGGAAACACTTACGCATGTGGGCAGATGTATTTGATGTGGGCGCTTCTGATCCCGGCGAAGGCTTCTGCCCATCCATGCCTGGAGAAGTAATGCCATTAGATACTGTTTTACAGTCCAGTTAGTTAGTAACAGAATAAATACTTACATTTTTAAGGATAAATTTTAACCCCTTAAAAAATCATTGCCAACCTAGAAATAACCCAAAGTATACGATATCAGCTTTACCGTGAGAAAATCTCTCATGGTTCCTAGAGAGCAGTGTTTTCTCTTTCATATACTTCACTGGGCTTTCAAATCTACAAAAGTGTATTTTTTAAAACTCTATAAACTTCCAACCATGTGTCTAACAAAATAGCCAAGACAGATGATATAATTCATTTTATACGAAGAAAAAACCCTCAGAGGGGTAAAGCAACTGTCTGCTATCTCTCTTTTGCTACTATACCATCAACTTTAACATTCGCTCTTTGTGCATATGTGGACATATGTATGTTCAAAATGGAGTAAGAGAAAAACTAGAAAAATATAAACGTCATCAAAATCCTCCCAGCCAGAAATAAACAGTTAATCTTTTTACATATTTTCTTCCAAGTTCTGCATGCTATCACTGGAGAGGTAAACACAAATTTAACAAGAATGGGGTCACAGCTCCCTGCTTGCTTACACTTGACGTTACATCTAGTACTTTCTACATGTGTGCATGTTCAGTAGCTTAGGTCATGTTCAACTCTTTGTCACCCTACGGACTGTGGCCTGCCAGGTTCTTCCGTCTATGGGATTCTCCAGGCAAAAACACTGGAGTGGGTTGCCATGCCCTCCTCCAGGGGATCTTCCCGACCCAGGGATTGAGCCTGCATGTCCTGTGGCTCCTGCATTACAGGCGGATTCTTTACCACTGAGCCACCAGGGAAGCCCTGTTTCCTCTGTTAAAGGGTAAGATAAAAGTAACTTAAGCCTTTTTTGGATAAAATAGTTTTGAAATTAACTGCTTTTCTGTTAACTACTTCTCTATTTCAATTCACCTTCCCCAAAAGTGTTAAGGACACAGAAACCTCACTGAAGGGCCAACACAGACAGGACTGAAAACGATACTGTAGACTGCCAATGAAGGAATTTTTTAGAAGATCACTATTTGGCAGCCATCACAATAACAGATCCAGACAGCAATCATTAATGGATGCTAAATCCAGAGGTAAAAAATGGATGAGAAACAGACATTTTCATGAAATCAAAGCGTCTCCCCATAAAATACTTTTTAAGTGCAATTATACTGACTAATTTTACTCTGGAGACACTTGGTAGACACTATCTTAACCAGGTAGTGAAACATAAAATCATCATCAGAGGCACAAAAATCAACCCAGTGTGGGCCTGGGACCCGCATGGCACCCTCTGTGGTGTCCCTACCAAAATCGAGAAGTCACATAAGCCAGACTGAGGGCCACCCCACCCAGGAACTAGTCCGTCAGGGAGAAGGGTCCAGGTCACCAAAGCTAAAAAGATGGACCAATCCAGACTGAAGGAGCCTCGGGAGATGCGACAGCTCAACCTGACCAGCTCACTTGTCATCTGGATCCACAAAGGACACTGCTGGTCAGAGAAGGGGGATGCGACTGTGGACGGTGGGTTTGACGGGAGCTTCGGGTCAACACGAATGGCCTGACTGATGCGTATGCTGTGCTTACAAAACAGCCTGACTGATGAGTATGCTGTGGCCACATGGCCATGCCTCCTGCTTACAAAACGCACTGCAGCTCTGTAGGGTAATGCGGCAACAGGCCTGCAACTTTATTCTTGAATGTGTGAGAAATGTTAACAACTGGGTATTCTGAGTGAAGGGCAAAAGGACCTCTAAATACCACTTCTGTAACTTTCATGTAAATGTGAAGTTATTTTAATAGAAGCAGCTAAAATTTTACATAAAGACAATGATGGAACGTAACCTGTTAAGTGATTCTATGAGTCCACATGACAGAAGTGAGGAGGGTCAAGTCAAAACCACCAGGGGAGTGGCAGTTAGAGAACCACGTCACAGTAACACCTGCCTCCAGTGAGAATCGACAACGGACGGTAAAAGCCCTGGGTGAAAATCCGTTGTATGATTTGCATCGTCTAAAAGCACCTCCCCACGACTTGCGCTTACCACGCAGGGAAAACACGGCGGCAGAGAAGCCCCAAAGGAAGAGACCACCTTCACCCACTGACCCGGGGTGGCATCAGTAACAGGACAGAGGACCCCATCTGGCTCCCAACGTGAGGCAATGAACGGGACTGAACCTCCATGTGAGGAAGTGCCAAACAAACCTAAACGAGCAACCAGTCCCATCCGTGCAGAAAGGTAAACATCCTGAGCACCACAGGAGCAGAGGGACTGTCCCAGATTAAAGGAGACTAAAGCGCTGCAGCTGCTCAGGGCAGCGCGGCAGAGACTGAAGGGCAAGCAGAGAGGATTACTACAAAAGACATTACTGGGGCAGCTGCCAAGTTCTGTTAGGTAACAGGGTAGACCGGTAAGAACATTAAATAAGTGCTAAACTTCCTGAATCAGATACTGTTCTGTGGTTATACAGGAGACTCTGATCGTGCCTAGGAGGTAAGTGCTCAAGTTGGGAAATAAAGAATCATGGTACTGACAACTTTTCCAAGTTTAGGCAAACAAGTAACATGTTAGATAGAGATCAGTGAATCTCAGTAGAAGGAATCGAGGAATCTGTTTTATTCTAGCATATGCTCAGTCACTCAGTCGTGTCCAACTCTTTGCGGCCCTATGGACTGGAGTCCACTAGGCTCCTCTGTCCATGGCATTATCCCAGCAAGCGTACTAGAGTGGATAACCATTTCCTCCCGCAGGGAATCTTTCTGACCAGGGATCGAACCCTCGTCTCCTCTCCTGGCAGGTGGAGCCAGGAATCACTGACTCCTGACTGAGTCACCACTGAGTCACTCAGTTGCCACTGAGTCACCTAGGAAGCCCCTTTATTCTTGCAACTCTTCTATACCTTTGAAAGTATTAAAAAAAAATTTTTTTTAAATACTCTCAAAAGTATGTATCTTTTGGGTTGTAGGATTTCAACTGATTTCATTCTCTTCTCAAATATATTTGCATCTGAATTCTTTTTATAAGACAAATGTAACACTCCCATAATCATAACAAAAGCTATTTTTATTTTGGAAGGAAAACTGATGTCAGGCAATATAGTGTGGACTAACACATTTTATTATACAGGTTATGCAGAGGAACATGTGGTCAGATGTGTTTCTTGCAGAAGTTTTCAGAGCTTTAAACATGCTAGTGCCCAGACAGTAAAGCTTCAAAAGGAGAATAAGCCATATCATAGTCCCTAGACAATAAGATAAAATCTAAGTGGCACCACTGAAAAAAGTCTTTTTATATTAAAAAAAAAATCACCACAATAAACAGATATAAGATGAATACCAATCTCAGAAACATAAAAATGTGGGGAAAACGACATATGGGAATTGAGAAAATATGAAATTACACAGGGTCTCCCAATATCATTTGGCCACCAAACACTTTTCATGAGGAATCTACAGGACACAGACTGATAGGCCCAAGTTAAGACAGCACACCTTGGCTGGCCCTGCAAAAAAGAACCAAAAAAAAAAAAACCTGCCCATTTTTATGGCAACAAACTGAATCGCTTAATCCTCTTCACCCTGCAAGTCAACCTGACAAAAGAACTTCAGTTCTCCAAAAACTATCTTAAACACTGAATTACCATTTGTCAGATTGTGCTGAATTTTCTCATGTGTTAATGCAACCAGTTAAATGTCAGCTTTCTTTGGTGCTGACACCAAGAAAGCACTGTCAGAACTGAGACCTCTAATTTTTGTTCTTCAGAACTCTAATGTTTTATATAAACTTCACTCTTAGTCAAGATGTCACAGGTGCTCTCAGCCTTTATAATCTCACGGTGGTCATTTTTGTCACCATCTTACTCTTAACTTTCGTCTAAAGAATCTGGCTACACTGGGGTCCACACAGAACCTTCCTCGAAATGAAGCTTTTTTCTCTTGGCCTGATTCTTCAGGCCTCAAAGCTCTTTATTGGGAAAGTTGCAGGGGATCAAGATGCTCCCTGTCAGGTAGTAAAACAGGGCTTCTCTAAAAACCTCTGGATTAGATAAATAGATGGATAAATAAATAGGAAAACAAGTCTGTCTTCTTCATAGGACTACCTGTTGACCATAAACTCCTATAACCTTTCCCATAACTCCATGTAAGGCATGGACCTCCACTTGGGAGGCCTAAAAGGATACTAGGAATCAATCGATTTTAAGACTTAATCTAATTCAAGCCCAGTGCCTCCTTGTAAAGACTCAACAGTGTCTTGGCTCCTTTATCAAAATTTATTTGTTTCACTTTCCCTCCAATTCTGCAATTTTGTTAACAATTTTAAAACAACAATTTGACTGATATTTCAAGCAGATAATAGTGGATTTAAATTTTAAAAAGCTCTCTGGACTTCGTTGGTGGTCCAGGGGTTAAGAATTTGAGCTCTTAATGCAGGGGACCCGGGTTTGAGCCCTGGTCAGGGAATTAGATCCTCATACAGCAAGGAAGATCTTGGACACTGCAACAAAGATCCTGGGTCGCCGCAACTAAGACCTGGCGTAGCTCCCCAGCTTCCCCCCCAAAAACCTAAAAAGCTCTCAATACAGAGAAAAGCTGAGTGACAGATAAACCACAGGGCTAAAGCCATGTGCCTGATAAGCCTCCAAACAAATCTTTAAACTGCATCCCCTGCCCTTCAACTGATTTTTGAACAGAACATCTAAACTCTCACTTAGAACACTCACACTGCTAGTATCTCACTTAAAATCCACCAGTTCTTCTCAAGCTGCCCTGAAATTTCACCTCCAGAAAGTTCTCAAGTGCAGACTCTAAAAACATACCTCCCATCTCTGGCATCCAGTACCCATGGCAACTCAAGGAGGAGTTTGCAGTTTTAATATGTTCCAGAAACAGGAGTTGATGCATGACAAATTAAGAGGATGGGGGAAATTGCAGGGGGGCGGGTGGGAATAAAAAAATATTCTATCTCATGACTGGAGTGTAAGAAATATGACTAGCAGTCTTTTGTATACAATCCTAGAGTTCTGTAACAGTGAATTCTTGCTCGTGTAGGGGTGCACGACCCCGTTCATCAGGGTACTAAGGATGGTACCTACCCTGTGTCTCCCAATCCATGAAGGAAGATCACCTAGAAGAGAGCAATGACATTAACACCTCAAGAAACCACCAGAATGTCACAGCCCCCGGCTCTGGTTAAGCTGGATCCCAGGAGTCACAGAACATTGCCTTCAGCCCAAGCAGCAAAAATACTTTACTTCTCTCTTTGCAGCTCCTCAGATAACTTAGTGGGGTTTTAGCACTTCTAGAGGTTCCAGTTAGACATGCTTCTGGGCAAACGATCACATTCTACAGAACACGGTTGTCTCTTTCAGGTAAGACCGTGAGAGTCGCACCTACACGGTAGAATTTCTCCATCACAAAAAAGGAGCTTCCCAGGGTAAAAGTTTGAGATCCTTACGCACAAGTTTCCTAAGGAGTGGCACCCCTGATCGGAAACGACACTAAACCTTCAAACTCTGAGATGAGGAGGTGTGAGGTGCGAAAATAAAGTCCTGTTCCCGGGGGCTTAAGGCCTCCCCCATCCACAGACAGGAGGAAACCTGCTCCGGAGCTGCCTGGGACTGGGGCGCCGTCCGCTCAAGTGCGGGCCTGGGAGTGGGGTGCCGGGCGGGGAGGGGGAAAGGGAAGGTCCCGGGGCCGGGGCGCGGGTGGGAGACTCTGGGTGGGGGCGGGGGGCTCAGGATGGGGATGGGGGTTCGGGCTACAGGTTCAGGATGGGGACAAATGGATCGGGACTGGGGACTCAGGATTAGGAACACGGGGATCAGGGCACGGGCTCAGGATGGGGACACGGGGATCTGGGCAAGGAGCTCAGGATGGGGACACGGGGATCCGGGCCGGGGGCTCAGGATGGGGATGGGGGCGGGGGCTCGAGGGTGGGAAAACAGCCTCCCGCTCGCCGTGACCCCGCGCCCTCCGCACACAGCCGGGCGGGGCGGCGCCCACCACCCCGGCCCGACCGCACCCGACCCCCGGCCCGGGATCCCCTCCCCCCGGCCCGCGGACGCCCCGGCGCCCGCACTCACCGCGGCGGTGGCCTTCCGGGCGGCGGGCACGATGGCGGGCAGCGGAGCCGACATGTTATTGCCGCACATACACCGGCTCCAGCGGCCGCGCGTCGGAAGCGGAAGGCGGAGCGGGCGCCCGGCCGGGCCCAAGGGCGTGCGAGCGGCGAGTCGGGCCCGCCCACGGGCGCGCGCTCCGGCGCGTGCGCGCCCCCCGGCCCCGCGCCGCCCTCCGGCCCCGCGCGCCCCTGCCGCACTCCGCGCCGCTGCCCGTGCGTCACAATGTCCGGCCGAGCGGCGCCCGGTTGGCTGCGGCCGAGGGCTGCCTCAGCTGACCTCCTAGCGCGGGCCGCGCATGCTCCATGCGGGCGGCGGGCCTGGTGGGCCGGCGCGCGCGGTCACTGCTGACCCCGGGCATCAGGTCTCTGCCCTCAGAAGGTGGGGACTTGGGGTAATTTTGGCCGCGTTTCCTTTTGGGGCCGCGCCACCGTTTACTTCGGGCGTCCGCTTCCCTGCTCTAAACTGCAGCTGGAGAGGGAAACGGTTGTCACCGGGTTTCCACGGTTCACCGATGGGCGGATGTGGAGTTAATACTGATATAGGCACGCGACCACAGGAAGGGGCCCGATGCTTATCTACTACCTGGTGGGATCTGGGAGGAGCAGAGATGGGCACACTTAAAGTCAGAATGCCCTGACCTTCGGAAGGTTATGATTGACCACTGGTGAAAAGCCACAACTTGAGCGCTATGGTCCCGTTTTGTTTGGGGGCTCACTGAAGACTGTACCCTGGGACACAGCCTCAGAGCGCTGAGGAGCATCTCTGGAATGGGAGGCGTGGGTGAAGTCAGCATCTATACGATTTTGGTTCAAGTGTTCAGATGGTCAAGCAGCATTTCTGTAGGTTGCTGGTAGTCAGGAGAAAATACGGTTTTGGTGCTTTTCTGAAGGTGAGAAGATACCAGAGTTTGGGTTCATAAAAATTTTCACCTGGAAGTATCTACTATCTGAAGGCCTGTTTTTAGAGTTTTCTACTGAAACAAGATGGCTCATTCTTTACTGTCTGAGCTACCAGGTAAGTCCCTGGATGCCTCATTCTTGATCTCCACCCTGAACTCCTTTCAGGGGGTATTGAAGGTCAGGGACTGTTGACTTCATCCTTGTAGAATCAAATGACATTGTCTTAATCTAGTCGAGAAATTTAAAGCTGTATTGTTGTTGTCTAGCTGTTAAGTCAGCCCCATGGACTGTGGCCCACCAGGCACCTCTGTCCATGGGATTCTTCAGGCAGGAATACTGGAGTGGGTTGCCCGTTTCCTCTTTTAGGGAGATCTGGGTCTTCCTGACCCAGAGAGCGAAGTCGTGTGTCCTGCATCGCAGGCAGATTCTTTAACCGAGCCTTCTGGGAAGCCCTAAAGGATATATGCAATCTGTCAAAAGAGTAACAACCAGCCCCAAATGCAGCCAAGCCCGCATCATCACCAAACTGAAACTTACTACCTGAACTTGTCCGAGTTTCAGTCTCTGGCAGGAGGATGTCAGAGTCAGTCTGGAATTTCCTGGTGGGCACGAGGGAGTTAAAGAGCCTGATAGGATCCCTTCCATCTCCCCCGCCCCAAAATGAGTTAATCTGCTCCCTCCTGATGATAGTGAAAGAGGAGAGTGAAAAAGCTGGCTTAAAACTCAACAGTCAAAATACTAATATGGCAACCAGTCCCATCACTCCATGGCAAATAGATGGGGAAACAATGGAAACTGTAGCAGATTTTATTTTGGGGGGGCTCCAAAAATCACAGCAGATGATGACTGCAGCCATGAAATTAAGGCACTTGCTCCTTGGAAGAAAAACTATGACCAACCTAGACAGCATATTAAAAAGCAGAGACATTACTTTGCCAACAAAGGTTCGTCTGGTCAAAGCTATGGTTTTTCCAATAGTCATGGTATGGATGTGAAAGCTGAGCGCCAAAGAACTGATGCTTTTGAACTGTGGTATTGGAGGACTCTAGAGTCCCTTGGACTGCAAGGAGATCCAACCAGTCAGTCTTAAAGGAAATCAATCCTGAATATTCATTGGAAGGACTGGTGCTGAAGCTGCAACTCCAATACTTTGGCCATCTGATGCAAAGGGCCAACTCATTGGAAAAGACCCTGATGCTGGGAAAGATTGAAGGCAGGAGGAGAAGGGGACAACAGAGGATGAGATGGTTGGATGAATCACTGACTGGATGGACATGACTTTGAGCAACCTCTGGGAGCTGATGATGGACAGGGAAGCCTGGCATGCTGCAGTCCATGAGGTTGCAAAGAGTCAGACATGACTGAGCAACTGAACTGAACTCTTGTTTCCCACCTTCTTTCTGCCTGTAAAAGTCCTGTCTGTGCAGCTCCTCAGACCTCCTTTCTACTTGCCATATGGGATGCTGCCCAATTCATGAATGGTTGCATAAAGCCATTAGTTTTTAATTTCAGTTGAAGTTATGTATTTTTTTTTAAACTGAAGGACAATTGCTTTACAGTATTGCATTGGTTTCTACCAAACATCAACATGAATCAGCCATAGGTTTACCCATGTCCCCTCCCACTTGAACATCCCTCCCACGTCCCCCCCCCCCCCCCCCCCCGCCACATCCCAGTCTTCTAGGTTGTTACGGAGCCCCAGTTTGAATTTTGTTTTTAACAGTCCTTAGGGAGTCCAGGGTAAGGAAGATAGTGAGGGAAAATCTTAAAACAAAAAACCTTCACATTACTCACATGATAGCCAGAATGCTGGAAGTTGAAGGTCTTATTCGTACTTTTTTTTTTTTCATCCATTCTTGTCCTGAATCTGAGTGCTGAGAATTTTGTGGGCTCTCAAAACTCTTAAATTGATGCTGATTTATTATTTTTTTCCTTTATTTTTATTAGTTGGAGGCTAATTACTTCACAATATTGTAGTGGTTTTTGCCATATATTGACATGCATCAGCCATGGATTTACATGTGTTCCCCATCCTGAACACCCCCTCCCACCGCCCTCCTCATTGATGCTGATTAAAAAAAAAAAAAGGGGGTGTGGCTTTTGGGATTTTCATTGAGATGCTCATGAGTCTACAAACCAATTTGAGGAAATCTGACAACTGTAATTTCTGATCTAAGAACTGATTGATATTAATTTTGGTAATGTTGGATTTGTCAGTAATGTTTTATACTTTTCATCGTATAGACCTGAATAGTGTGAAAGTTGCTCAGTCGTGTCCAGCTCTTTGCAACCCCATGGACTATACAGTCCATGGAATTCTCCAGGCCAGAATACTGGAGTGGGCAGGTGTTCCCTTCTCTAGAGGATCTTCCCAACCCAGGGATCAAAGCCAGGTCTCCCGCATTGCAGGCGGATTCTTTACCAGCTGAGCCACAATGAAAGCACAAGAATACTGGAGTGCATAGCCTATCCCTTCTCCAGGGGATCTTCCTGACCCAGGAATCAAACTGGCGTCTCTTGCATTGCAGACAGATTCTTTACCAGCTCAGCTACCAGGGAAGCCCCATCGGCCTAATTTTTTGTCAGATTTATCCCCCCAAAATACATATTTCATGCTGATTTAATTTTTAATGATCAGCATGTGGGATCTTATTTTTCCCACCATGAATCAAACCCTTGCCCCATGAAGTGGGAGCATGGAGTCTTAACCACCAGACTGTCAGGAAAGTCCCACTTCATTCTTTAATGACTCAGTGGTCACTATTAACCAGGGCTGGAGTCAGGATGAACTTAAATAGTTGCTGAGGTGTTTTCTTATTACAAGGTCTCCTTAATGTGACTTAAACAGCACAACACCCCAAGCATGTGGGAGCTTAATAAACATCATGCAATGATAATGATGATGATGTAAAACTTCTATAGGCATAAAGGTCAATGACTTATGGCTTATTCACCACACACCCTTAATTTTACATTCTTAAAACAGGTGAGACTCATCAAATTATTTTCAGTTTTATATGCTTGGTCAACATGTTGCTATGGGATAAACTGGAGTCTACAGCTAACCACAAACAATTATTACTTCTACTATTATTAACTGATGTCCACCAATAACATTACATAACCTATACAACAAAAAGCATCTACTTCCCAGAAGTGCAGCACACTGTTTTATGTTTCCTGTATCTCATTTATTCAATATAAAATTTTTTGATGATAAAAAACAATATTGGAATGAACACTCACCCAGAAGCTCGTTATTTAGTGAAAACTATGATTTTTCTAGATAAGGGGGAGATTTGTGCTTCTTTCCGGAGATTAGGACACATTTTGCAACATATTTTGCAATTTTCTTCCCAGAAGTATGAAATTTCTAACAGAAAGATGATGAAGTATATTGAACTGAGAAGCCTTAAAGTCAGGAACTAGCTTTTATTTTTTCACTATATTTCTTTCTGTATTTCTAAATAGAGCCTGGTCTTGTATCTTCATACTGTTTTACGAAACTCACATATTTGTATTTCTTTTTTTTTTTTTACTTTATTTTCAATTGAAGGATAACTGCTTTAGAGAATTTTGTTGTTTTCTGCCACATATCAACATGAATCAGCTACAGGTGTACATATGTCTCCTCCCTCTTGAAAATATTTGTGCTATTGGCTTTACAAAAGGCTTTTTTTAACTTTTCAAAAGTACTAATTTTTGGAAGATCTCCCTTACCTCAAATAATCGGAACAAAAGTTTTGACTTCCTCCATGTATATTTTTGTAACAAGTTCAGTATCTTGCTCAAATAAAGGAATGAATGCAACTTTTTCTGTATTTTTTTTTTTTGCCCCGACACATGCAACCTGTGGGATCTTGGTTCTCTGACCAAAGCTGGAACACCAGGCCAGCAGTGAAAATTCGTAATCTTAGCCACTGAACCGCCAGGGAATTCCCTTTCATTTTTTACACTTGATTTAAAATGACTTCAAAAAGGTTTAGCTAATCATAGAAATAGCTAAACATAGATAAATATAGAAACATAGATAAACATAGATAAACACAGAAATAGCTAAACATAGAAACATAGAAATAGCCCTCCAAAAATTTATTTCCACCTTCATTACTTGTGATCACCAGTGGGAACAACCCCCCAGCAAGATGGTGAAACATAAAAAGAACAGAAAGGGGCATGGTCTGTATCACACTTACTTCAGACAAAAATAGAGAAGCTGATATTTCTGAGTGAAAATAGTGTAATGTATTTTGGGCTGCAGATATTCAACTTTATACTATTAAACAAAAAATACTATTTACATAGTAAGAGGTAGTGTATGAATCCTGGCTGCTTTCTATTAGAATTTGGTTAAGCTACCGGCCTTTGCCAAGTCTGTCAAAGGTAATAACATCTACCCGACAAGGGGTTGTTTAGTTGATGAATCAAGCCAGGGTGGCTCTGCAGGCTACTGACGCTTACCAAGAGATCAGCGCTGCTCCTTCATTAACAGCAGATGAGGTCAGCATCTCTGACTTGGTCGGAGCAGCACAAGCGCACTTGGATGGGGTGCAGAGTTTGAGTCTTCAGCACAGGTTGGTACCAGCCAGTCATTGGTAACTGCTCGACTCTGGGTATTCTCACATCTCAGGGTTGCCAACTGAAAGGCACTCACTATCTGCCTCTACAAGGATGAAGTCAGGAGCCACTGCAGCCCCTGTCCTTCAACAACCCCACCCCCCACCCCCACCTCAGAGTTCAGGTCTGAGATCAGGAGTGAGGCATCTGTGTTCTGGGAAAACCCGGCAGAACAGGCCTTCATATATTCAGATATTGTCAGATTTTACAAGCCCAAATTCTTGACTTTCCTTGTGTCTAGAAAAGCAGTGAAATCATTAAAGTGGACACCTGCTCCTCCTTACTAGCAGGAGCCTCTGCAAAATGTGCTTGACTCCACTCACTTCAGTCGCTCAGACGTGTCCAACTTTGCACGCCAGGCTTCCCTGTCCATCACCAACTCCTGGAGCTTGCTCAAACTCATGTCCATCCAGTCGGTGATGCCATCCAACCATCTCATCCTCTGTCGTCCCGTTCTCCTCCTGTCTTCAATCTTTCCCAGCATCAGGGTCTTTTCCAATGACTCCTGACTCCACTAAAATAACATACAAGCCGACTTCCCCCAACCCCCACCTCTTCGGAACTGTTTCTCAGAGCTGAGTGGCTGTCTTCTGGGCTATAGCTCTCATTTTGCCCCAAATAAATCACAGCTCTGTGTTGTGCAATTTTTCAGTTGACAGGGGGTATAATCAGCCCAGTTCCCAGCTCCAAATCGGAACTTGGCAGGGCCAAGTATGTTATTCTGGGCTCCACGTGGCGCCCAGAGGCAGAAGAAGCCTGCCTCTTTTAAGGACCAGACTGAGACAGGTCAGAACACACAGTGACACCAAGTCCTCCAACGTGCAGCGTTTCGATGCGTGTTTGTACGGCGAAAGAAAATGTAGCACATTCCAAGCCAAGAGCAAGGCACGATCTCTCAATACGGTCCCATCCCCAGTGAACTAAACACAAAGCCACCTCAGCTCGGAGAAGGTAGCCTAGCGTACCAGCCGCCGCCTGGAAGGAGACCGGCTCCCGGCGTGCCCCGCGGCCGGCGGCGCTGCGCGCCTGCTGCACGACGGGGGCGGGGCCGCGGTCGTAAAGCAGCGCCCGAGGTCACGCGGGTCTGGATGCCAGGCGCCCTTGCGGCGTCTCATGCAAGCGGGTCATGGCCGGCCCGGTGCGGGGGGCAGGGCCCGGGGCTCTGGACCTGCTTCGGGCTCTGCCTCGTGTGAGCCTGGCTAACTTGAGGCCGAACCCGGGCTCCAGGAAACCGGTAAGGCTGGGGATGGCGCGGGAGTCCTGGGATCGCGGGTCTAGAGACGCTGCGGAAACGAGGGGCCTATGAGCCCCTACTCTTGAGTGATGTGGGAAGCCTGCCCCCGTAGTCCCAGCTCTCAGGTTCGGGTTTAGAGGAGTAATCACGTTGACCTGGGCGGGGAGCGAGGTCGCTGGAAGTGGAGATGGTTGCCTTATTCCATATTGGGTTGGCACGAAGTGCTTTTCCATTATGCCTTTTTCTTCAGGGGAAAGATATTTTACGTTCTGCAAGTTACTGAACGCAGCTAGAAAAGCTGTTTTGGTCATACTGCCACCTTGAAAAGCAACTCGTTGCTTTCGCGAAGTAAGAAAAATATTTCCTTTATAATTTGGTGTCTTGACCTCAGAGCAGTTCGAATGGTGCCTGGCACGTAGTGGGTTTGGCCCGTTGCTGGCTGGCAGGATGAATGAGGGCTTTACCAACAGACAGCGCAGAGGTGAAATACAATTTTAAAAGTGCATTTGCAGCTCATAAAACATTTTTCTCTCCTTCCAGGAAAGACGACGAAGAGGTCAGAGAAGAGGTAGGAAGTGTGGCAGGGGCCACAAGGGAGAACGTCAGAGAGGAACCCGGCCCCGGCTGGGCTTTGAAGGAGGCCAGACTCCATTTTACCTTCGAATCCCAAAATACGGGTTTAATGAAGGACACAGGTAAGTTTGCTTTGTTCGTGGGTTTTGTTTTTTTTTTTCCTTTCCTTCTTAGTGTAAAAATTTGTGATTATGAGAATCACCAAATGATAGCTTGGTAGAAATTTAAATCCACTTCTTTAAAGGAAACTTTTGCTACCGTTCCTCTGAACCATTTTTGGTAATGAAATTTAGCCTGACTTAGTATAGGAAAAAAGCCAGAGGTTGCACTCAGACCTGCAGAATGGAGGTAATGGTGCATGCTCTGGAGGTTTAGAATGATTTTATGTTCGAAACTCTGGCCCATTGTCATCACCAAATAAATGGTAACTGCTTTTACTTTGAGTTCCATTAATGCATAATTCAGATAGTATGTTAAATTTTTCATATATTTATTTGTATAAATGAGCGAAGTAAATGCAGTTTTATTTTAAACCATCTAAATTGATGCAGGAAAGCACAGGAGAGAGCTCTGTGTTCATCTGGAGGTCTTACAGGAAGATAAGTCTGGCTGAGTTTTCTATCTGTTGTTACTTTTTTTTGTAGCTTCAGACGCCAGTATCAGCCTTTGAGTCTCAACAGGCTTCAGTACCTGATTGACTTGGGCCGTGTTGATCCCACACAACCTATTGACTTAACCCAGCTGGTCAATGGGCGAGGTGTTACCATCCAGCCATCTAAAAGGGACTATGGAGTCCAGCTGGTAGAGGAGGTAAGTCTGAATTCGATTTTTTTTTTTGAGTTTCGTAGATGACTGTTTCTGATTTCCATATATTCAACACTGTGCCTCCTTTATTTTTATCTCTTTCTCGTTGTAACCATTACATAATGGTTGATTGTGTTATATTCAGTTGTGGTTTTAGAAAGCCACTGTTCCCTGGTCCTGGGGTGTTCTTCCTGTGTATCCTTTCAGCTTGCTCCCTCACTCTCTTTGGTTCTCTGTTCAGATGTCATCCTAGTAGGAAGATCTTTTTGACTTTTTTTTTCCTTCCAAATTATTTGAAACTTAAATTATTTTTGTTACAGAGATGTTGTTTGTAAAGGAGCACTCTCATATCTGACAGTCTGCCTTATTATGCCCAAAAGGGTTTTTCTTTGAATATATGAACACCTGGTATTTATTACCAAACAGTGCATGCATTTTTCATTGCCTTCCTCACTGTAATGTCAGTTTTTTTGAGTGCAGGTACTTTGACTCATTGCTGTATTTTCAACATTGGAAATACTGGCTTGTGATAGTCACTCAGTATTTATGGAAGAAAGGGATGAATGAAATCCAGTTGTGATTGTAGGGAAGAGGTTTTCTATTTAGAGAAGTTGGCCAGGAGTTTCACTGGCAAATGAACCTGTACATTGCTAATTAACTAATGCCCCCCACCCCCTTTTTCTTCTGTGTCAATAATATAGTTGATCTCTGTATAAGTAACTAATTTAGTGTCCACTAGAGGGAAGCATAGTTTATGGGAAAATCTTTCAGATCTTTGGAAAAGTAAACTTGTCGATAAAAGTTTTTCAAATAAGTGATTTGAAGAGAGAATACCAAATACAGGATTAAACCTCAGTATTCTACTTTAGGCATATCAAGGAACACGGTTATAAAGTAACATACTTAAAAACCCATGACCTCATGAGACCTTAAACTGCACATCCCAACAGCTTTGGACATATATCTATTAAACTAGCAGAAATCATTCTGAAATCTGTTGGTTGAGTATATACAGTTATTCATCATTTACAGCTTTGTAAACCAGTTGCCCTTTTCTGGATTTCAGATTTGCCATCAATATTGGGTAATAGGATGGTTTTGATCTTTTCAGTGTAAAATCACCAATTTAGGAACATGTGTCCTAAGGTAAAACAAGATAAAAGAAACTTAATTGATATAAAGAAATGCTAAATAGGCTTCTTACAGCCCTGAAAATGCTGGAACTAACACCAGTGCCCAGAGATAGGGAAATGGTTAAGCAGTCTATGGAATAGTAATGAGAAATGTCAAGTAATGTGGCAAGACCTTGTTTTATTGAGTCAGAGGTTCCATTGATTGTAAAAATGCCTTCCAGTATCAGAGATGGGAGAAATGTGTCTTAGAATTGATGGAATATTTTGAAACTGGGAACCACATTGTTTCAACCACATGAAAAGAGCAAAAAAATTTTTTACCACTGCAAAAAGAATGGTAGTGCCACCACCTTTTTATTTTGTCAGAGTCTGTTTTGAAATTAGGCCTAATGAAAGTGACCAGAGACAGGACTTTAAAAAGTTCAGAACTATTTTTACTTCTGTTGTCTCTGCCTTTTTTGCTCAAGAGGGCTGGTCCCCTCCAGAGCTCAGCTATTTTGTTCTTCCGTTGGCTCCAGCGTGCTTGTCCGCTGGTTTAACCATCTCTTGGCCTCTTGCTTACTTGTGGGTCAGGAAGGTGAGTTTCTGTCTGTATCACATGACATAATGTTGGGGTTAGGAACGCAGCCACTGGGACTAGGCTCCCTTGCTTTATGTTCTTGGGCAAGTTGCCCAGGCTCTCTGTGCCACCGTCTGTGGCATCGGTGTTGCAGTAATTCTGTTGGTTTAGAGTTGTTTTGAGGGCTGAACCATCTGCTGTTTAGGAGGTGTTGGGAATGGGTGCTTACGATGGTGCCTGCTGAATATGTAAAGTGGAAGTCTTATCATCCCTTCTCTTAGGGAATGAAAACTAGGAAAATATGGTGGCCTAAAGAAATGAGGAACGATTTGGTGGTGTTTGATGAGGCCTCAAAGCAGAGGTGTTAAAGTAGGAGTCGACGTCGGGCTGTAGGCACTCCGGAGGAGAAAGCAGGGCAGGGAGGGGCCCTCGTGATGTTTGCTGGTAGCCCAGCCATCTCCTCACACACTTTGTTTTGATGGATGACAGGGCGCTGACACCTTTAAGGCAAAAGTTAACATCGAAGTTCAGCTGGCTTCTGAGCTGGCCATCGCCGCCATCGAGAAGAATGGGGGTGTCGTCACGACCGCCTTCTACGACCCGAGAAGCCTGGGTAAGCTTGTGGGCCTCGTGCCGACTACCTCACCAGGGTTTGACTTGTTCAGACACCTCGATTTCTCTTTTGGGAATTTCTGCTAGTGGTGTGGCTGTTGGGGCTCTGTCTTCTGATATACCTCAGCCAGTATGTCATAAAATTTTTTTAGAAAAAAAGCCTGGAGCTTAAATACCTCTGTTTAGAAGTTCACTAATTGTTGATAACCCAGGAGTGACTTTGACCTTCAAGATGCAAACTTTTGAAGATCAAGTGTTTCCATTTGTTTCCTTAAGTCTACTGAGTTTAAAAAAAAAAAAGTTTTTGGGATTAAGCTCTTATCTTGGAAATACTTTAAAATTAATAACTAAAAGAATATCATTAAGAGAAAACCAGTATATATATTGCCAGTATTTGCATCTCTCTATTAAAAATGTTTTTTAGAAATTCTGTGCAAACCCATCCCATTCTTTCTCCGTGGGCAACCCATTCCCAAGCGGATGCTCCCCCCCGAGGCACTCGTGCCCTACTACACTGATGCGAGAAACCGAGGCTACCTGGCGGATCCCGCCGGATTTCCTGTAGCAAGACTGGAGCTCGCCAGGAAGTACGGTTATATTTTACCCGACATCACTAAAGACGAACTCTTCAAAATGCTCAGTGCTCGGAAGGATCCACGGCAGATTTTCTTTGGTCTGGCTCCAGGGTGGGTGGTGAACATGGCAGACAAGAAGATTCTGAAACCCACGCATGAGAAGCTGCTTGAGTACTACCGCTCCTGAGCTCCGTCCAGGGGAGCCAGTGGTAGCAGGGCACCTGGAGGGGCGGTGACGCGTGTTTCCCACTGCACTGGCTCAGTTTATGGTTCTGCCACCGATGATGTTTTCTGTGTGATCACGTCTTTTTTTTTTTTAATCAAAATTAAAAATACAGTAAGCAAGGACTGCATGGAAGATGTGGATCTGTATGTGTCTCAGCATCATGAGCTTGCTGGCACGCTGCCCAAGGGAGCAGGAGGCTCTTAGACCATTTCCCCTTGAGTTTTCCATCATCTTCCCTTTCAGGTCTTGTCTTATTGTTGCAAATTAGAATGAATGCAGATGGGCTGGGCTCGCTTCATTGTCCGCTCGGTTGGGGTCTGAGGGCTGCTGAGGAGCTGGTGTACCTCTTGGTTAGCCCTGAGGAACCTCTTACCCAGAGTCGAGACACCAACCCTTCAACCCAGACTGATGAAGATGTTGGATGTGAGTGTAAGGCTGGTGAATAGTTTCCAAGTATTGCAGTATTTGCTGGCAAGATTGAAATGAAAATTCCAAGTGAATTCATTTTTCTCAACTCTGGCAGAGCTGTCAAAAACGATCAAGCCATTAACATTGTTTTTTCTTTGAAGAAGGTAAATGTTCTAATGATATGATTTTGCTTATTTCCTAGACTTTGAAAACGTTTGTGTTTCAGTCATCTTAAATGATTTTGAAGAAAATGGTCAATGGTTATATAAGCCATTAGAACAGTTGGTAGCATGAAAATTAAACTACTAATGTAAAAGGTTCAGTGGTCAGTAAGCTTATTTAGCTTTGCAAAGATCTGTTGTATCTAAACCACGTGGAAGCTTAATTTATCCTGATGCAATTAAATCTTGAATAATTCATGATAATTCTTCTACAGTAGAATTAAAATGATTCCTGTTTATTTTATTAAAAAAAATTTTGAAAAACCTAAACAGTGTGTTACTTTGTTAAGTTATCTACCTCAAATATTGCTGGTCTAATATTCAATTGATGAAGTAATTTATGTACCAAGAGGATGTTTCAGTTTATCCAGGATTATTTAGTCTGGCTTGTTATTAAGCCATTTCATAGTACCCAGAACTCATAAGAATCAGTACCAGGATTACCTTCTCTGATAGACACCTGTGAATTTCAGAAGATAGGCAACAATTTAAAAACATGCTTTTATTTTTCCGGGACACCCGGTGACAAGAGTTGGCAGTGTTGGGATTAGATTTGGCTCCACTGATTGGAGCCCTGGGTCCCAGTGGCTTGAATATCGCGTTTCTTGTTCTCTCAAGTGAAGTGTGGCGATCACTGTAGGGTCGACTCCCAGTCCCTGACTTCCCCCAGCCCTAGAGAGAGAGGTGCATCTTTGGGACCCAAATACGACCCACACGGGGCCACTTTCCCCAAGATGAGTCTAGAAGCTGCCACACAAAACCTGCACTACACCCATCCCACTGGCCAAAGCTTGGCTACAGTCTTTTTCTAACACACGGGGCTGACGTCTTTTCTTCGGCAGCTTGTGTTTTCAGCTAAGCTGAAAAACCCTGTTATGATGGGTGAATCATGAGTGGGAATGTTGGTAACCAGCAGTGGGGGTTGACGCCTCTTTGGGTATTGACCAGACTTCATTCAACCCTGAGGTTGATCGACTTAAGTTAGACAAACATCCAAAAAAGTGCAGAATTCTTTATTTTGTGCTTAATAGCCGGGGCTTCCAAGGTGACTCAGTGGTAAAGAACCTGTCTGCTAATGCAAGGAGGTGCAGGATACATGGGTTTGATTCCTGGGTCAGGAAGATCCTGCGGAGGGAGAAATGGCAACCGGTCCCAGTATTCTTGCCTGAAGAATTCCATGGACACAGGACCTGATTGGCTGCAGTCCATGAAGTCACAAAGAGCATGACTGAGCACACGCAAGTATGTGCGGCATAGTCACTATTCTGTTCAGTGAGTTACAAAACTAAGTGGATTAATCCATCAATCTGGGTAAGATGGATGTTTTTAAAGGAGAGTGATGATAAAGAACCAGACACCATCTACTTTGTTCCATGCCTCCTTTTTCTAAACCTTTTGACCATCAAGCTGTCTTAGGCTGCCTGTGTTAGATTCTAAAAAGTTATATTGGAGTACTGTATGTGGAAGAAGAGAGGTGCTGTATAAAGATATGGTACACAGAAAACAGGTTTTTGATGATTATAGTGATTCATTAAGAGTCAGAGATAGAATACATTTTCATTTTTTAAAATCACTGGGAAAGGTCCTCAAAAACTTTGTATCATGAAAGTAGCCAATGCCTGTTTTGAAATTATATAATACTGAAATCTAAAAAGTGAAAGTCCATATTGTCTTAATGTTGCTGGTTCCTGACCTACTTCCCAGAGGTGAGAAAACCACTGCTTTGTTTGGAGTCTTTTTTTTTTTTTTTAATTGGCATAGATGGAAAATAAAGGCAGTTACCTTGTTACATCTAATACTGTTTCAAAAACACTTTCCATTAGGGTAAACTACACCTTTTTTCTTTTTTTAAAAAATTATGAAAGTATGATAACACGTTTACAGGAGACTTGGAAAATACAGACCAAAGTTACTTGTAATTCCACTACATAATTACGATTATTTTTTTTAGTAGATTTTTAGTTTTGATGTCACACTCTCAAAAATAGACCTGAAAGCACTATGAACCAATTCAACATAATTAAGGTTTGTATAGTTTTCATACAACAGTAGGATACATATTTGAAGTTTCCATAGACTACAAGCTAGGAGACAGTGGAACATATCTATGGACATAAACCAAGGTGCATAAGTTTCATAGTCTAAAAGTATTGAAACATTACAGTCTGTTCTCTTGTCATTATGAAATTGTGTTAGAAATCAATATCAAAAGTTACTTGAAAATAACCCACATATTTTCAAGTGCAATGTGACCTTTACCGAGAGAGATACTTGACTTAGCTGTTGAAAGCCTCAGTGAATTTAGACTGAAAAAAACAGGGTGATTGTGGAGAAGAAAGCATTTAAATCAGAAATTCATATCAAACTTCAAAAACCCCATGTATTTGGAAATTAAATGCCCACTTCTAAATGATGTCTACTCTTATTAACTAAGCTATTCACATAGGCCTCAGATGGTGAAGACTTCACCTGTAATATGGGAGACCTGGGTTCGATCCCTGGGTCAGGAAGATCTGGAGAAGGAAATGGCAACCCGCTCCAGTGTTCTTGCCTGTAGAATCCCATGGACAGAGGAGCCTGGCCAGCCACAGTTCATGGGGTCGCACAAAGTCGGACAGGACTGAGTGACTGACAAGCCATTCACAGAGGGTCCGTTAGACGAGTCCCTTCACCTTCCTGGCTGAAGTGTGGTGACACGTACTGTTTGTGTAGCACAGGCTCAAATACCAGGCTGATTGAGCTGTTGTCTTGAGCTGAGGAAGGCTTCTATGACCTCAACCTTTTGTGCAGAAATGAACTTCCTTACATTTAAGCACATCCTGTCCTGTGTCCATCTGGAGTGGACCACTTGTTTCTGCAGAGCGTGGACCTCGCTGTGGGTGGGCTACTACCACCACCCGCCCCCGCCCCCAGACGTGCTGCTGGAGCTTGTCCCGTGATTCAGTTCACAGCCGAGTTGGAGGGGCCCCGACAGGCAGTTCTTCAGGAGATGTGGGGGGGTGGTCATCACAGGCAGGTGGACGATGGGACCTCACTCTCCAGCCCTAGGAAGTACTCAGGAGGCACTTAGGAGTGTCCCCCGAGCCCAGTCAGTGACTCAGCTACCCGGAGCAGCAGTGAGTGGAGGAGGAGGCGGGCAGACACCAGGCCTGCTGAAGCTGGTGGTCTCGGGCCTTCCAGGTGGAGGGAAGTCGGGAGAGAACGATAAAGGGAAGAGTGAAAACAGGAAACAGGTGCCTGGTGATGCGTCACGCCAGGGAGCACTTGCTCGGGGCGAGAGTCTTAGTCATAAACAGCTGTATCCTGGCCTTAATCTCATAGTCCTGCAGGTCATTCTCAGCCAGCGCAGGCACGTTCCACAGAGTCCGTCCACTCTGCCCTCATCGAGGTCAGCGGAGAGACTGGAGCCGCATTATGTAACAGTGCCCTGTACCAGGTCATTTCCAAGGCAGCAGATCTAGGTAGGAAAGCCACACGCCCTCCGTCTACATCCCAGTCCTGCCTGGTGTGACTTCAGCCTGTTCTCAGCGGACGTGGCCTGTGCGTGTCTGCAGAGAAGTCTTGAATTGATATGGGTTAGAAAAGATCTTGTAGTGCCTGAAAGTATTTACTGTGGATTGCTTTGGCTTATTTTCCTTTTCTTTGGCTGTGCCTCTTGGCATGGGGGTTCTTAGTTCCCCGACCAGAGATCGAACCCACACCTCTTGGCAGTGAGAGCATGGAGTCCTAACCACTGGACCGTCAGGGATTTCCCCTCTTTTCCCTTTTTAACGTCCCTTTGTTCTTTGGGTTGTGGGTAGACTCTGCAGTAGCAGGGCAAGCGTCCGGCAGCAGCAGCAGGTCTGCTGAGCGTGTGTCAGAACGAAGCACGCTCCCCGGCGTCAGTGAGTGCACACGCTGTGCTGTGTCAGGGGTTGGCTATGGCGTGCGTGGCACAGCCTTGCCTCTGTAAACCTCGGTGCTGATCTAGGCTTTCACGGTAGCTGGCTGACCTGCAACACCCACTCCTTCTGTCTCCTTCTGTGGCTGGGGACTCACTGGGTTACCTGGCCCAGTGTGCAGACTGGTCAGGAGAATTTCCCTGGGCTCAGAATCTAGTACTAGTTATGTGACTGCTGCTTAACCTCTCTGAGCCTCCACTTCACCATCTGAAAAATTCGGGGTAATGACAGAGCCTAACATATCCGGTGATGATGGGGACTGAGAGAAATCAGTGTGTGAAGCACTTACCACTGCGCCTGGCACAGAAGTGTCTTCTAAGTGTTCATGAATTAAGCATCTTACGTGGCCCACCTCTAATGTGATTGTTTATTGTCTAGTCAGTCATGTCCA